ATCCATCCATCCATCACCTATCCATCCATCATCCATCCATCCATCCACATTTATTTAGAAACTTACCAGTTATTGAGTTTCTGCAAAAGAGCCTTCCCCAACCTCCCAAGACTGGTAGAGGTGTCTCTCCTCCCTGTCCCATAGATGCAATTCTGCCTCCATCCCATTGCTCATCACCTTGAATTATAGCTTCCTATTGATATCCTTCTTCCACGAGATCCTTGTAGATAAAAATGGACCTTTTAACCATGTATTTTTATCTGACAAACTATAATTGCTGAATAAATGTTTGATGAACAAGTGGATGAGTAAGTTTAGAAATTCATGAAGTATGGTGTCTGTCTTGGGCGTGCCATCGTTCAGTTGAAGAGGATGGTAAAAAGAAATTGTTTTGGCCTTAACAAAATATACCTGAAGATTTTGGCTGCCAGTGTACTGGAAAAAATTAAAACTTTTATAAAGTCTATTAACTTGGAGGTGGAGACCACTGAAATTCTTTTCTCTTCTCAGTGTATCACTGGCTGAGAACTGCACACTGTTAGGGTCTCAGACTTAAATTCAAGGCCTGGTTCTGCCACTAACTAGCCTGTCAGTTTATCATACTTTCAAAACCTCAAGGTCTTCATCTGTAAAGGGGGACTACAACACTTGCCACATCAGCCTAAAAGGGCTTTGTGAAGTTCCAGTAAGTAGTTGTGAAACTGTTTTGCCAGCTATAAAGTCCTATACACATGCAAAGGCATTGTGATGAAAAGTTTTGCAAAAAAACTATTAATTGTTGATAGTTGTTGATAGTTTTTTTTTAAAGGGTTTTTTTTTTGTTTTTTAAAGATTTTATTTATTTATTTGAGAGAGCGAGAATGAGAGAGAGAGAGAGAGAGAGAGAGAGAGAGCATACGAGAGAGGGGAGGGTCAGAGGGAGAAGCAGACTCCCTGCTGAGCAGGGAGCCCGATGCGGGACTCGATCCCGGGACTCCAGGATCATGACCTGAGCTGAAGGCAGTCGCTTAACCAACTGAGCCACCCAGGCGCCCGATAGTTTTTTTTTAAAAAAATCAGTATTTGTTTTGAGATAACATGACTGAAGTCACACAGCTGGCTAGTACCACAGCTGGGATTTGAACTCAGGTAGTCTTGTGGCAGAGTCCAAATTGTTGAACACCATCATAATGTCCTCTCTAAAACAAGGCTAGGAATAGGCCTTGCTGCCTAGGGTTGTTTTGACGTCATGAATATAAAGCACTTATCACGGTATTGGGCACATAGTAAGCATTCCATAATTATTGGTTATTTTTCGAGGGCAAAGTTCCGTCTTTGGTGAGTTGTATAATGAATGCCCTCCAACTCTGACACAGGAATGACGCTCCCAGCACAGAAGTGTGCACTGGATGCATTCAGAACCGATGGAGATAAAAAGATCCTGATTGCCACCTCAGTTGCTGATGAAGGCATCGACATTGCTCAGTGTAATTTGGTCATCCTATACGAGTATGTGGGCAATGTCATCAGAATGATCCAAACCAGAGGTGAGAAAAGCTTTGATGCCATGACGAAATGGCTGCCAATTTGTCTGATACGTGAGCGTGTCTGTCATTTAGAAATGTACTCTGTCCTAGTCATTGTGCTTCTGGCCTTGACCGAGCAATAGTGGCTGTCTGACCGTTGGCACAGGGGACTCTGGTGTCCTTGGCCCTGACGGTGGCCTATTTGATCAGGATTGTGTCGGTACAGTTTTGCCCACTAATATATACCCTATTTTGATTCTTGTTTATGATGAATACTGTTCACTTGACCAACATTGATGGACATATTTATGGAAAGATAATTCCCACTTGCATTGAGACTCTGGCAGCCGACGTGTGGCCCTTTCATGGTTGTGCTTGTGGGAATGATGGGCCTCCTGTATTCTAGAAGAGACACTCCATGCAATTCTCCTGTCTCACTTGAACTAGGTGATCTCCTAACCAGCCTCTCTTACTTTTTCCAATTTCCATAACAAGGGCCCCCATTTTACTTCCTGAAAAACAGCTGTGGGCGTGTCACTTCCCTATAGAGTCTCGAGTCATTCCCAATTTATGCGGTGGTAAAAAGCTCACAGTCCAGCCCCAACTTCTCTTTCCAACCTGTTTCTCATTCTTCCTCTTTATTCATTATCCACTTCTGCCGACCTGACGTCATCATTTTCTCCTTGTTGAAGAAAGCGCTCATGTACTGCTACTGGTAATCCTTGTTTTACTTCTTCCCTCTCGTCCCCGCCTGTCCCTGACTCCCTCAGCTGGCAAGAAATTCTCCAGTGCCCATAGTCCTTCACATTTATCTTCCTTATCGCACTTATTATTTCCACCTATATTCTGGTGGCTGTGAACATATCTATTTCCCCACCTCCTTGAAGGCTCTTGAGGGAAGATCTGTTCATTATTCATCTTACAGTGCTCACAGCGTCCTCCTGAGTATTCATGTTGGATTGTCTTTAAGGCAGTGTCTCTGATAATGTAGCTGTTCAGTTATACCGTCTGGAGACCGACCCGCCAAGGAAGCCAGTCTAAGGTGGGCTCCTAGTTTAACATGTAGTTTAATATGGAGGTGCACACTTGCATTGGAGTCCATGCTCTAACAGCTCAGCTTTCTTATGAAAGTTGAATTTTAGGAGTACTCCTTTGTTTACCTCTTCTCAGATTTATCAGTTTTAAGTCAAAGACACCAAATAAGGTATTTATTTTCTGATAGGCAGAGGAAGAGCAAGAGGTAGCAAGTGCTTCCTTCTGACCAGCAATGCTGATGTAATTGAAAAAGAAAAAATAAATATATACAAAGAAAACATGATGAATGACTCCATTTTAAGGCTTCAGACGTGGGATGAAGCAGTATTTAAAGAAAAGGTAAGTCTTTTAATCTGTGTCACTGACGCAGAATCTGACCATGAGTAACAAACAGAATATGAGGATAGCTGGTGCCTTTTATCATATTGCTGAGTGTTGCATGAGAACAATAAGTTTATGCTTAAAATTTTGTCCTGCAGTGAACATCAGATTCATTCTGCTTTAGGTCTCAATGAGATTAAAATATATGTTATTAGTGCCAATACTTGAAGTGAGGTTTTTAGTTATAAAAGGGCAAACTTGAGTTAGATGACCCTCAAGTCGGCAGCTCATCTTGACGACTGCACCCTAACATGGCAAAACACAGCCCTTCTCGGTCTTTCCCTCAACTCTGTCTCTCTCTAACACCCAGAGTCCTCAGAGAAAAGCTCCCCGTGCACGGCGCATGTGTTAGAATGCCTGCTTGTAGGTATTGGTATGAATGCATGCTGTGGGGTGGTGTATCTGTTCAGTTCACCCTCTTGGTAGTGACCTTCATTTTACTGTAATTTCCTTTATAACACGGAAGCTTGGAACCAGATTGGGGAAAGTCAAGAAACACAAACACGCACCTACACGCACACACAGGCGCACATGCACCGCATACCTTCTCCAGACCCTCTGCAGAGACTTTCGTCTTGGGATCTCTGCCACTTGGAAGATGTATGACCTTGGGTACTTAACACTGACTGTTAAATCATCCGTCTCCTCATTCGTAAAGTTGGGAAAGTAATGGTATTTAATTCACAGGGCAATTTTGAGGATAAAATGGGGTATATACATTGCTCAGCACAGTGCCTGGAATAAAGTAAGTGCTCAAAAAATGAGTATTGTGATGGACAGAGGCATGAGGCAGACTTTAATTTCACAGAGATGAACCTTACAATTCACTAGACCAACTCCATAGTGTCCATAATTTTAAAAAGTCATAATCTGTTTGCTCCAAAAAGTTTTGAGAAACAGTGGTCTAAAGCAAATTAACACTTATTTTAGGACATAAAATGACAACTTTATGTCAGTATTTACTCGTTTTTAGAAACATTTCTTCCTAAAGTTTAGAGACTAAAATATTTAAAAATACTTCCACATTTTCATTGAGAAGAACCGCAGGGAAATTTTTTAGTTCCTCTTAATTTTCCTCCTGAATTTTACTGAGAACAGAGGTTTTTCACAGAGTCATCTTCCCGTTTTGTAGCGTATGTTGATGTTGGCAGTAAAGTCTTTAAAACCATGATAGCTTTAATATCCATGCCATAATTTTTGTCTCTTCCACTGGGTGACCAACTACGTAGACTCGTCTGGCAGGATAAAAAGAGTAAAAGCCTTTTGAGGGAGACAGAGCCTCAGCCAGACACAGACTCTCTTGTAGCCAGCTCACCAGGACAAGGAGTGGAAAACACAGGTTAAACATCTGTTGAATAGCATCTGGTACTCCCCTAACAGCCATAGAAAACGGGCAGAGGTGGTAAAGGATGGGCGGGAGCCCAGAACCAGTGTAGCCGGGACCTGTTGGCTGGTCATTCCGTGGGTGGGGGTGGGCAGTCTTGCTCCCTGCAGGATCTCCACTGACATCACAGGCAAGGGCCGCTACCGTGTGGCAGGGCTGAGAGCATGGCTCCCTGCTTGGCCTTCTCTGACACCATTAGGTGGGAGTGTTGAGATGCTTCGTTAAGGTGGAAATCTAGGTACCCCTTCAGTCTTTGCTGGCATGGGTTGGAGTTAGGCCACAGTTGTTTTTTTTATTCTGTGATGTTTGGCAGGAGTAGAACAGCTATTGTCTAAAAGTTTCTTGTCTTGCTAGGCTGCCCCTTTCCTGGTCCTATGACTAGAGAGAGTAGTAGGCTTCTGTTGAGACACTTATTTTATCTGTGTCCGTAGACATTTCTGGTTGCCAGTTCCTTCAGCCCTAAATCTGGGATATATGAGGAAAAGAAAACCCAGGTTGCTCACCACCATTTTGTTCTTAAGGGTTTTGTGTTTTCTAGCTCTCTGCCTTCCTCTCTTCACCCTTCTGAATCTTCTTAGGTTTATTTTATCTATAATGTCCAGGTTCTTTTTTTTTTTTATATTTTATTTATTTTTTTGAAAGAAAGAGTGAGCGAGAGAGAGAGAGCACAAGTGGGGTGAGGGGCAGAGGGAGAGGGAGAAGCAGACTCCCTGTTGAGCAGGGAGCCCATTGTGGGGCTTGCTCCCAGGACCCTGGGAGCATGACCTGAGCTGAAACCAAGAGCCAGCTGCTTAACCGACTGAGCCACCCAGGCACTCCCTTTATGGGCATCTTTGATTCAAAAATTAAAAAGGCTCATTGGAGGTCACAGGTAAACACTGACTAACAAAGAATTAGGAGAACCCAATAAAATTACCTATGGGATTTTTATAAACAAAGCCAGGCACTGTATGTTCATGGAAGCTGTACATGAATGAATGATAACATACATGTGTGTGTATGTGCGTGTGTGTAAATACCTCCTAGTTATCCCGTTATACTGACGAAGTGGATTTTGTTTTTGGTTTTTGGGTTTTTGCATGTAGGTTCTCCAGATACAGATTCAAGAAAAATTAATCAGGGATAGTCAAGGAAAAGTAGAACCTGTACCCGATAAGGAAAAGAAGAAGCTGCTCTGCAGAAAGTGCAAGGGCTTTGCATGTTATACATCTGACATTAGAGTGGTGGAGGTAAGCAGCCTTTGAGCAAAGAGCACTGGGTCATTTTTTAGCACTAATCAAAGCTTACTCTCTATCGGTGAGATATTTACAGTAAGAATATTATTATTTTTGTTGTTATCATGGCCATGATCTTTTAAAAAGCCAAAAAATTTCTGAAAGGAAACCCTTTACAATGAAGAAGAAAAAAGAAGCTACTTCATTAAATATTATGTAGCCACTAAAAATAATGGTCATGCTAAATGAATAGGGTATCCTGTGTTAGATCCTAGAACAGATAAAGAATATTAATTAGAAAAAGTGGTAAAAATCTGCAGTTAACAGTAAGGTTCCAATCCTAATTTCTTAGTTTTGACAAACACACTGTGGTATGTTAGATGTTAGCATTCAGGGAAGCTGGGCGAAGGGGATACAGGAAATGTCTGGACAATTTTGCACTTTATCTATAAATCTAAAGTAACGCCAAAGTAAAGTTTATTAAACGAAATGATCATGAAGCTTATGTATAATGAAAAACTTCTTACAAACGATGGTGAAGTAGAAAAAATAACAAGGGTACAAGGTTGTAAATATGCTGGGACTTTAGGAGTGTGAAATAATAGCGACAAAACCACCATCACCATCAACAACAAAAACATCAAAAAACTATCTTTGTTCAGAAAAAAAGACTAGAGGAAATATATTAAAATGTATTACTATTTTACAGTGAGTCTCCATGATTTTCTCTACTATTTTATGTTTTCTAAACTTTCCTTTTGGGATATGGATCACTTTTATTAATAAAACAAAATATCTCCTTATTTTAAAAACATCCGCTGGTTAGTTTTCTCTATTTTTTTTTTCCTTAAAAATTTTGGATAGAAAAATCTGCAGAGACAAAAATGGGCTATAACTCCATTGCTGCTGATAGAGGGGAGGCTGGTTCAGATGATGAGTTACTAGGATTCTCCTTGGTCTCTGGAAAGCTGAAGTCTCTAATCAGTCCATCTGTTTGAGCGAGAAGCGGAATATTAAGGGTGGACTAGCAAATTCCCATGCCTTTATGAATCTGCTTATCTAGAAAAGGTCCTTTCAGCTCCAATTTGAGTGATTTTTCTACTGAAATGGCCCTCTGTGACTGTTTTCCTGAGGGGCTGGTACGTTGGGTCTGCATTTGTTCTGTACAGAGTGGCCCTTCTCGGGACTCTAAAGTTGGCTGTAGGTGGAGCTTCTGGACACATTAGTCTGTGACCCTCTGCAGATCCACATTGACCCTTCATTGTTCTCTGTATCCTTTGGATTGTGTCTGTCAGGTGAACTGAGGCTTTGGAGATCTTCAACAAATACCTCCTTTTGTTTCTGAATTAATAAAGAGTGTCTACTTTCAGAAGCTCAGTTGCCTGTAAACTTTAGTCCTCCTCTTCACGAGACGGCCCCTATCACCTCACTTGCATGCTCACCCCCACCCTTGTAACCGGGAGTCCGGTTGTATGGATTCTAGTCTGGCCTTCAGGTGAATGCATTATTTCCTTCCTACCCCATCTGTAAAATAAGTGGGATCCTACCTGCTCTGGATCTCACATTGTGGTGGAGTTTTTTAAAATCACAGTTCTGTCCTAGTTCTAATGTTGTGTTTTGTGTGTTATTCAATCCCTTCATCTGTAGGACTGCCATTACACTGTGGTGGGAGATGCTTTCAGGAAGTGCTATGTGAGTAAATTACACCCCAAACCAAAGAGCTTTGGGCATTTTGAGAAGAGAGCAAAGATCTTCTGTGCCAGACAGAACTGCAGCCATGACTGGGGAATCCATGTGAAGTATAAGACATTTGAAATTCCAGTTATAAAAATAGAAGGCTTTGTGGTGGAGGATATTACAACTGGAGCTCAGAAACTATATGCCAAGTGGAGGGATTTTCCTTTTGAGAAGAGATCCTTTGATGCTACAGAAATGTCCAAAGGACCTCATGACCTCAGTCTTTAGCTACAGGGAATGGATGACCTTGACTGAAGAAATTAGCCCCAGTGGGTACAGTCATGGATTGTATGTACCCCTGTGAAGATACTTTACGCAAGCTTGTATCAAACTGAGTATGTCACTTAACTTCACCCTCTGTTTATTGTTTTCAGCAGTTTGAACTGTATCACATATGTAAAGCACAAGTGAATCAAAGCACTAATACTCTGTAGGCCAATGGAGCTCTAAGTACTTGGGAGAAATTAAAAAACCTTAACTTCTTTTCCTATCCTTCATTTCACAACTGACTGCCAGTGTACACCCAGTAGCCATTCAGTACACACTGGAATGAATGAATGAATGAACGAATGAAATGTTGAAAGTGTTTCCACCATAAACTGACTTTTGCCCTTAATATACTGAAATTGTTCTTAAGTCCTGTAAGACTGCCCCACCCCGTCCCACTTCAGGCATCAGTTGCAGATCCAGGTAATCACCTGTGCCTCTCACTGACAGGCTGTAGGTCAGAGGTTCCCATGACCTCCTCCTTGAATTTGATTAATCTGCTAGAGTAGCTCACAGAACTCAGAGAAACATTGTATTTTCTTAATCACCGGTTTATTAGAAAAGGATATAACTAAGGAACAGCCAGATGGAAGACATGCATAGGGCAAGGTGTGGGGAAGGACAAGGAGTTCCCACAGCCTCTCCAAATCTCCACCTGTTCACCAGGTAGAAGCTCTCCAAACCCTGTCCTATGGGTTTTTATGGTGGCTTTATTATATAAGCATGACTGATCAAATCATTGGCCATTGGTGATTGATTCAACCTCCAGCTCCACTCCCCAGTTGTCAGGGGGTGGGACTGAGAGTACCAGCCCTAGAATCAGAGTTGGTTGTTCTGGCAACCAGCCCCATCCTTAGGTGCCCTCCAAAAGTCATGTCATTAGCGTTACAAGAGATACCTTTGTCCCTTGTGTCACTTAGGAAATTCCAAGGGTTGTAGGAGCCCAGTGCCAGAAATGGGGATGAAAGGCAAATATGTATTTATTATATAAATCACAATCTCACAAGTATCTCTTTTTATCTATGATTGCCTTTTTTGGATGCTGTTGTTTAAGAACTCTAATAGGATGTTTAAAACACCTACTGGAGATTTGAGAAAAGTTCTTTCAAGTATCTAAATGGTCCAGTTTGGATGAAGGTGAATAGTCCTCTCTTCAACCAACAGAAGGCAGACTGAAGGTGAAACAAAAAAAATCTTGGAATTTCCTTATTGGATTTTTTGCCCCGAGTCAAGCCACTGCCAGGCATAGAGCCTGGAACAGAGTTAGGCACTCGGTTACTATTTACGGAATGAAAAAAACCTGGTAGGTAGCGTTTTAAGAATGGCAGACTCTTGACTGATGCCTAAATGCTGGTCATTGGATTTCTCGGTCAAAAGCTGTATGTCAGAACCAAGTGGGGAGTCTTTTTCATGGGCACATGCCCCACCTCCATTAGGACATCCTGGCAGGTGTCCAGACATGGGTACTTTGTGAGGTTTCTCAGGTGGTTCACATACAACCAATCACACAACACCCGCAGGACCTTGTTTCTCTATGGTTCCTGCCAGGGCTGACATGGTGATGGGTTTTTGACCGGAAATGAGAAGTTGCCTTCGGTCAAATGCCTGATTGTGTAATAAGGGCTGTAAACTCTGATTCCTGTCCTTACAACTGATATTACTACTTTATTTAAAAAAATTAAAAATTTTTTTTAAATTTAAATTCAATTTGGTTAACCTGTAGTGTATTATTAGTTTCGGAGGGTAAAACTGACATTATTACTTGAGTTTAAAAGACAGACCGTCAGGTCAGCATTTCCTCAAGCAAGTCCTGTGGAACACACACGCTGTGAGATGCTCTGACGAAAACGCTCTCTGGTCAGGACAGGCTCCTGAATCAAACGCTGCCAGCCCGCCCCTCCAATGAGTGAGTGATTTACACTATAACTGTCATTGTGTGGCAATGTGTCAGTTCTGTGCTAACAAGACCCCCTGAACTCAGTGGTTCCCAAATACGCTGACCCTGGAACCCTGTTATTCCCGGGACACCGCTCCCATCCTGTGGAAGCGCCACAACAGGCATGCAGCCCTGACGCAGCCAGCCAGCCAGCCAGAGCCAAACCGGAATGATGTTAATTTCAGGACTATACCAGGTACTCTTTTATCATACCATGTACTAGAAGTACGCATTTCACTCAGCAAATCTGCACTTAATATGCAGGACTCCGTTCCTGGGGCGCAAATTATTAAAACTATTAAAACTCTCAGCTATAATTATATAATCTTTGTGATAATTAGGCTGGATGAACAAAAACTACTTGGGTGTTAAATTCTCTTTGTGGTCATGACATTTGACAGCTTCCTCAGAAAGCAGCCAGGGAACCTTACTGTTTTTCCGGACGGAAGTCTACATTGCTTCTACATAACCCTGCTGGGTACTCTACTGTCCTCACATAACCTTGAAAGGGAAACTGGGCCCAAAATATGGTTCTTCACTTTGGTGACTGGAAACTCCCAACTTTAGTTTACAGAATACTGGGAGATAAATCTCTTAAGATCACAACTACTAACTCTTACCCCAGAGCTGCTGGTGACCATATGCCCAGGCATGCGGAGCAGCCCTAAAGAATGAGGTAAGACGAGTGGAGAAGTGATAGGGAGGGAACCTGAGTTTGAGTCACTAGATCCAGTCAAGGCTACGGCTGTGGCTACCTCTGTTCTTCAAGTTCTATGAGCCAGTTATTATTAACATTTGTGCTTAACCAGTTTGAGTTGTGCTTCTAATAACACTATGAGTCATGACTGCTACACCCTTCCCCGAGCTCACTCTCACCTACTACTGGCTGTCCCGGAGCCGAAGACACATGTGCTAAAACAAGTCTGTGGGTTAGCACAGTGTGCACACCAAGGAATGCTTGGTTTCTTAGGAGGCGTAATGGATTTAGAAAACTGTTGACAAAGGAGCTGAGACCCCCACGGAGAGGAAGAGGGCCGGCAGGCACCTTGAGCAAGGAGCACACATCTCGTCTGGAGTGAGAGGACTATGCCTTCTCGAGAAACTAGGCCTAAGGAGTTCATTTGTTCAGTCTTGTTGTGGGCCAGGCTGTGACACTGGGCAAGACATTTTATTAATGAACAGGATCGAGGGTGCATTTGGAGGTAGAGAAGTTCGGAAGCGTACCAGAAGTTATAGCCACAAGAACCTGTCTCCACATAACCACTCAATGTGAGGAGCTAGACGGCCCCCCAGAAGCGAGGTAATGAAGAGCTAAGGCAGTAGAGGTCTGTTTTCTCAGCCCTTCTTTGTATTTTTGTGTTAGGACTGATCCTTATTTGAAGGTCATAGGCTTTTTTATACAACAAGGTTCTGTTTGTAATCTTTTTTTATGAACACAAGCTAGTTCCCAGGAACCTCAGGGGCAGGGATGCTCACTAACCTGTCTTGTCCCTCATCTTTGAAGAGGTAGAAACAGGACTCAGTCCTCGGTGTTCTAATGGCCAGGCCATACTCCCTGAGTGCTAAATTTGAGATTTTTAAAATTCATTACAAGGAGATCAACCTGTGAGCTCTAATTATGAACTGCATGTTTTTTGTGTTCTCCCAAAATTCGTGTTGAAGCCCTAATCCCCAGTGTCTCTCTTTGGAGATGGGACCTCTAAGGAAGTGTTTCAGGTTAAATAAGGTCGTAAGGTGGGGCCCTGATTTGATAAAATCAGTGTCCTTACATGGCACCAGAGAGCCAGCTCCTTATCTCCTCACACATGCATTAAGGAAAGACATGTAAGGGCACAGCAAGGAGGTGGCTGTCTGCAAACCAGGAAAAAAGTTCTCACCAGAAAAGGAAGTGGCTAGACACTGGATCTTGGGCTTCTGGCCTCCAGAACTAGGAGAAAATATATTTTTGATGTTTGAGCTACCCAGTCCATGGTTATTTTGTTATGGTAGCCGGAGCAGACTAAGACATGCGCCCCCAAAATGATGTCAGTGATGAACATAAGCAGATTAACTATAGAACACAAAAATAAAAAGATGATGACCTGCTCACCATACTTACATTATTGCTACCGCTACCTTCTTGTCTGCTCCCAACCGGGGCAGAGAAATCCTCTTCCTCAGCTCTTCCACATCCCCCTGTATGGTACAGCTGCGGTTGTAAAAGCAGAACTTGAAGGTCACCTGATGCTGCAGTCTGAGACTCACTCTGCTCGAAATATCCCCAGACTAGAGCCTCACACACATTACACAATTCAATTCCAAAGTCAACAAGCTTTCCTTGAAAATAGATTTAATCTTCCTCAAATTACAAACGTTCTAAGTCTCTCTCCAAAACCACCGCCAAAGTTCTCCTCTTGACAAATGAATTTTCTGGGGAAAAGTTTTGAGGAGAGTAAAAGAAAACATCACATTTTTTTTTTTAATGTTGATCCATCTAAAGGCACATAATCAAAAAATGTCAGTGTCTGACCTGCCCACGAGGTGTCTGGATCACTCCTTCCGAAGGAAGAAGGCAGACAGGAGAATCACAATCACCGCTGTGATTTGAGAACATTTTCATCTACTGTGTCAGTTAACACTGGCATAATATGCAAAGGCCAGTGGCGCTCAAGGGAAGGTTTCATGGAGCAGAGGATAACAGAGGAACAGAAATGGGGACAGGGGATGCCTTCTGAGAAGACTTATTTGTGTCCAGCTGAACATTAACAGGCCAAGAGTGAAAAATCGACATTCTGTGATCAGTGACTTCACACACAAGCTCAAGTTCTCTCTTTCTGGCACTACTGACATTCCCACCATTCTAGCTTCCAAATTCTAGAAAAAGAGAAAAAGATCCACAAAAATAGAGAATGTCAGAACTGCGCATTCTGAGCCCGGAGGAATGGCACCAGTTACGTCAGTGCTTACGCGCTTCCGTGCAGGGAGGCCGGCACGCGCTGGGGATGCTCTGCACCAAGGGCCCTGTGGGCTAGTGGCGCTTCGCTTCCCCCGGCGCAGCTCCAAGCGCAGGGCTCCGAGTGCAGCTGACCTACTTGGCCATCTTGCGGATCATGTAGTTGAGGATGCCCCCGTTGTGGAAATAAGCGAGCTCCACGTCCGTGTCGAACCTCATGATGGCCTGGAAGGTCTTCCCGGTATCCAGCTGTGACGACAAAGAAGCAGCGGAGAACCAGTGGGGGAGGAGGCCAGGTAGCTGTGTCAGGAGGGATGCCCCCCCCCCCAGAGCTGCCCCTCAAAATATGGTCCACACACCAGCGGAGCCAGCAGCACTGGGGGGCGCGTGCCGTCCCTCGCTCCAGCCCAGACCCAGTGAATCCGGGGCTGCATTTGGACAAGATCCCCAGCCGACTCCTCTGCACAGTAAAGCACCGTGGGGTACAAATAATGGAGGTGATGGACACATGAGGACCAGGTGTCTTGGGGCAGCAGCTACTAGTGACACAAGGGATGGTATTTTCTAGACCCTCTCTGGGAGCTGCGGGTTGGCAGAAGTCTCATTAAGGTTGTCCTGTAGGCAGCTGGTCCAGTTGCTGACCCTGGGGGGCCTCGGCACTGGGTACCTGCCTTGCCGCACCTCACCTCGGGAGCTGTCGCTTTACCTTTAGGCTAATCAAAACCTGGGGTGAGGCTCAGGAATGGGTGTGTCTGTTCACATTTTGATAATAAAAGGTGTTTTTTTAAGATCATGTGAAAATGTCCTGTCTCTGAACTTCTAACACTCTTTTCTGGGCTAAAGAGAGACTGGGAGTCAGAGGAGACAGTGGGGCTGGCTGGGGTTGGGGAGTAAGAAAGGAACTGATGGTAACTCCATGAGTAAACAGAAATAAGTAATCCATCAACAGGTGCAGGGGGGGCACCTCTTGTGTTGTGAAGGCAGAGCAGGTGCCAGCAGAACTCCTAGGTCTAACGCACTCCTACTGACTGCCTGTTTTCCTTCCAAAGTCCACTCATTCCCTTCTCGCGGGTTTGATGATGAACGCACGGTCCCGTTTACTTGGACCTGGCACAGGGAGGCTCCGGCTTACCTTGACCTGCACTTTCATCCGTGGTGTGAGGTTTTCCGGAATGATGATGGAGTATCGTTCCCGCCCTGTGAGTCCCAGGGTGTCTGCGGTCTCCCCAGGGAGATATTCGAGGGGAATCACCCCCATTCCCACCAAGTTACTGCGATGAATGCGCTCATAACTTTCAGCCAGGACAGCTTTGATTCCCTGAGGAGCCAAGACAGTACTTTGGACACAGTTCCAATTTTCTTTGGATACACAAAACTTTACAAAAGGCTTCTTCAGTCAAAAACTCCTCTCACACCTAAATTCTTTTTAAGTACCAATGAGTTGTTTACATAAACAGTTACTCTAGTTATAAATAACACAGCAGCTGGTCTGAACTGACTGCCTACAATGTACAGGCAGCATAATAAAGTGGCTTCTCTCATCCCACCTTCCACCAACCCTCGGAGGGAGATGCTACCATTGTGCCCTCTTCACCCACACGGTCAGTGGTGGTATCTGGTAATTGAACCCATGCAGTCTGACCACACATTTAGCTGCTTTGTGATACAACATCTCTTAACACACTTCCATTGTATCTGGAATCCACACCGCAAAACAACATAAATTTTTCTTTTCTCTCCCTTGAACAGGTGCAGACACAAAAGACTTAACCGACAAAGCAACTTTCAGAACATACTACAGAGAAAGGAAATGATGTGCTGCTTTTGCAATTCCTGTTTCAAGAACAGGAGATACTCTATATGGATCCGTGTGCACACGTGTTCACTCTGAGGGGGAGTGGAGGCTTTGTAAACACGTCCGATGCACGTCCCTATGCTGGGTAAGGGCTGCGTGCGGCTGCGAACCAGTCGTCCAGCCCCCTCTGCTGTGAGGAGAGCCCAGCACTGCTGAGCGGCCCAGCCCGGGGCAGCCGGAACGCTCGGGGCCGTTCCGTACGGAAGCCTCGGGCCTAGGGGGCCCCTCGCACGCCAGTTCTCTTGGCCTCCTTCAGCTCTTACAGTCTCCACCGGCTGCATTTCTACTGCCAGCCCCATCCCTAAAACCCTTTCCTCCTCTGTAATTTCTCTGGTTCTTTTCCGCAGCTTCTAGAAAAGGCAGGCTTTTGACATATTACCAAGTAATCAAAGAACATCTTTTGTTCCCCCCACAAAGCAATATGATTGATAAAAAACAAAACAAAGCAATAGGTGTGATGTTCAAAGAGATTTATCGAAGCCTGGACATCCGGAGGGCTGCCTGCCAGACCCCGCCTTCTTTACTGGACGTGTGGATATCACCGTATGCAGTGTTTCCCAAGGTTTAATTTGCTCGAGCCATAAATCCCTGAGATTGGCACCAGCTAAGTCACCTTCCCCTACCCTGAGAATGCAGGCTGAGCAGCAGGACTCCTCCCTGCTTTCGGGGCCAGGAGATGCTCCAGAGGTAAGAACCATCTGCTCCCTGCACGGCCCCTCCATGGGGACGCCTCCATGGGGACGCCTGAAGCGGCTCAGGCCCTGAAATGGCCACAGGTTCTCAAGAGCTGTCTGTCTACAACCAGAGAGAGCGTCCTTCACTCTTGAGAGTCCATAAGCCGACTCAGAGGCAGTGAAAGGCCACTGTAAGAAGTGCACTCCCCAAGTCTGTCCAAAGCACCGGTTCCTTACTTTTACCCTTCCCTGAACCTCCTGAGGGACAACACGGGAGCAGCATCTGGGCTTACAGCTCACCTGGGACAATGGCCTGAAATACTTGCCCCGTCCTCGGCCTGAATATTAGGAAAACCATGCCATTTTTCCCCACAAAAAGAAGACATACATACACACATTTGAAAATAATTTCAGAGACTTCACAGACCCTCCTCCCAATTGCTCCATAGACACGCCCAAAGGTCCATGGTTCCCAGAATAGGAGTATCTGATCTATGGGACCGGTTCAACTCTGGATTAGCCTTCACTGAGTGAGGTAAAGGCAGATCCGTCAAGAAGCAGGAGCTGAACAAACATCACATGCTTTCCTGAGCTTGCCTGCTGGGGTCCCTCCACGTCACACTCACCAGGAGGAAAGGGCCCTTGGCTGCCCAGTCTCGGGAGCTGCCTGAGCCGTATTCTTTCCCGGCCAGAACGATCAGGGGAAGGCCTGCCTGCTGGTACTGCTCAGCAGCATCGAACACGTCAAGCTGAGGAAGAGAAAAGCAAGGTTTACAGATGCAGCAGAGTGTGGACACAGGCCAGGGGGACCTGGTGAGAAGCACAGGGTCTTCAGTGGCCCAAGTCAACACAAAGCCAACAGAAAACTCAACCAATCAGTGGCCTGCGTTACAAATCTCCAATTCACCCCTACCAATGAATGTTATGTTCTTTTAACTAAAATGCCTAGTTTTTGTCCTGGTTTTAGAAGAACATTCAAATCCTAAGGCATCAAGGGAAAAAAAAGAAAATCAATCAGATTTTTCCCCCTCTTCCATTGATTAAACTATTTTAAAGCTTAGGAAATGGAGAATCCCACCTAAACCTGGGTTTTGACTCAGTCTAGAGACTCAGTTATGGTCACCTGTAAAGGGCAGCAAGCACAAAGAAGGTGACGTGTTCTGAAATTATATAAAATGCAAACAAACATACACTTGTTTATTTTAGATAGAGAGCGAGTGCAGGGAGAGGTAGAGGGAGAGAGAGAAGCCTCAAGAAGACTCCCCACTAAGTGCAGAGCCTGGTGGAGGCCTCGACTCCAGGACCCTGAGATCATGACCTGAGCCAAAATTAAGAGTCTGCCACTTAACACTCTGGGTCACCCAGGCGCCCCAAAATGCAAACTTGTATCAGTCACCCTTCTCTACAAGGATGTCAAGGCAGAGACAGCAGAAACACGGGTGGAAGCAGAGATCAATAAGGGACAGGAGAGGATTAACTAATATTTTGGTATATATGAGAAACATCTTCCACAAACAGCTTCATTTGTTTCTCACAAAAATTCTGAATATTCTGCTGTGCCAAGACTTCACAAAGACATTTGATATCATTGCTGGTGATATGAAACAATTGTTCTTCCTGGCTACTTAAGTAAAAAAAAAAAAAAAAGAAAGAAAGGAAAAAAAATCCCTCAAGAGAGGGTTTCCTTCAAAAGAAGCTCTAGAAAGGTGTGTAATCAACCTCTCAAGTAAGCTTTCCCAAACTACTATTTCGGTGGGCTGATGGAGCCTGTGGTTAGCTCCACACGGCGTTACCCAAATCTGGGGAGCTTATAAAGCAACGGCTCCCTACACATTCCCTCTCTTCTAAAGATGAGGACAGGGGCGCCTGGGTGGCTCAGTCGGTTAAGCGACTGCCTTCAGCTCAGGTCATGATTCCAGGGTTTTGGGACTGAGTCCCGCATTGGGCTCCTTGCTCACCAGGGAGCCTGCTTCTCCCTTTCCCTCTGCCTCTCTCCCCTGCTTGTGCTCTCCTGCTCTCTGTCAAATAAATAAAAATCTTTAAAAAAAAAAAAGAGGACATAAAATTTCCATTATTGTTCCTTTCTATCTCCAGTATTATATTTAAACTACCAGTTCTCTATTTCTCCATTTTCGTTATCAATTTCCTGCTTTGATGAGGATTTAGTTCTCCCTCTTTTTAAAAAGATTTTATTTATTTAATTGAGAGAGAGTGCATGTGTGAGTGGAAGGAGGGACAGAAGAAGAGGGAGAGAATCCTGAAGCAGATTCCCCAACTGAGTGCAGAGCCCAATGCAGGACTTGATCCCAGGACCCCGAGATCATGATCTGAGCTGAAATCAAGAGTCAGACGCTTAACTGACTGGGCCACCCAGGCGCCCCGGGGATTTAGTTCTCTCCCCAGCCTCCCAATATAATTATGTCATACGTTTTGGGTAAGTCAATATTTGGTGTTTGCACTACACTGACTTATGTGGATGTTATTTATAGCTGAGTCAGGTAATGTACTCTGAATTCCTTTTCTTGGTAATCAAAAAAATTTCCACTGGAATTAATAATTTTCTTTTTGTGTGTGTACTCACCTGTTTCTATGTCACTACCCATCAGTTAATCCCCAAACACTCTGCCTAAAGTACACATCTTCTCTAAAGACATTCAAATGTATCAGGCAGTCTGTCATTTAAAAATCTCTTCCGTAGAGATCTCTCTCCAGGAGCTTCAGTCCTGTTCTAATTTGGACTGATTCTTCTCTAGATGGTGCAGTCCTGTGATGGGAGAATCTTCCTTCACCAACATCCTGGGAATTCCCTGCATTTCCTTTTCCTGGATCCTACAACTTCCCCTTTTTTGGCTTATTCCCTCATTTTGGTAAAACGCATTTACCAAGTAGCTTCCTGAGACAGGGATTGAGGAGTATTTTTAAAGTTTTTGAACCTGAATGTGTTATTACTTTAACATGGGACATGGAATTTGGGGGTGCAAGCCAGTCTAAGTTTCCAGTGTTGGTCTGAGCACTTCTGATCTCCAGCACATTGCAGAGAAGCTGTTTTCCCCCCTTTGGAAGTTTCTAGATCTTCTCCTTTTCTCTGCTGTTCCTAACTTCATACCGATGCGATTTGGAGCTGGTCTTCCATAATCATGTGGGTATTCAGTGGATGTCATGTTGGAGTTGGATCTTGAAGTCGGGGAATTCTCCTTGTGTTACTTCCCGGGTAATTTCCTTTCTTCTCTTCTTAGCATCTCTGTTTAGTCAGATGCTGGGCCTCCTCATTTCAGTCTAATTTTCTTATATTTTTTCTCTAATTTTTCCTTTGTCTTTCTGTTCTATATTCTGAGAGATTTTCTCAACGAATCAACTTTTCCTGTGAAATTTTTTTAGGGGCTTTTTTTTTGTTAACAGCCTTTTCTTTCTTCTTTAATTACTATTTTTTATCAAGGGCCCTTTCTCGTCCTTTGATTACTTTATGCCAACAGGAAATCATTTCATCACTCTGAGAAGATAATCTTTTCTTCGTTTTCTTCTACTCTTTGCATTATCTCTGTTTTCTTTCCCTTCCCCACCGTTCTTTGTCTAGGTCTGTCTTTCAAGTTCAAGGCTTCGCTCAAATGTCTGTATCTCTGATTCTGTCTCCTTATTTAAGATGAGGCTCTGAACATCTGACCAGAAATTCTATGTCATGGCAGGGCTTGTAAATTCGTGAGGTTCACTGTGACAGTCAGTATACTGGAGGCCCCCCAGTGTCTATACTGCACATCTTTCCCCTTGTCTCTTGGGCATTCTACCAGCTAACTATCTTTAATAGTTTGTTTAACATCCCTGCTCTTCACTGAACACCTACCTACTGGGTGCTGACTTTGTGTTGGGTCCTGGTGATCAGTGATTACCTATAAACAGTTTGCTTTACCAAAATATAATCTGTTACAAGTGAGGTGGTATGGGTGGTGATCAACCGCAATGATGTTGGAGCCAGACTCCCTGGGTTTTGCTTTGAAGATTGATTGATTGATTGATTGGGGGGGGAGGGGCAGAGGAAGAGAGAGAAACTTATGCAGACTCCGGGCCTAGCACGGAGACTGTTGCGGGGCTCGATCTCACGACTCTGAGATCTCGGCCTAAGTTGAAACCAAGAGTCGGATGCTCCACTGACTGAGCCACCCAGGTGTCCCCAGACTCCCTGGGTTTTAATCTCCATTTTTATTATCTTAAAAGATGGACAATTATGGTACCTCCCTCAAAGGGTTGTTCTGAGGATTAAATAAGTCAATATAGGCAAAGAGCTTAGAACAGTACACAGGATGTAGTAAATTCCATATAAATACTAGCTGTTATTATTTTTAAGTAAGTCAGGAGGGTGATTTCTCAAGTAACTTAAACAGTTCTCAAGCAGCTCTGCAGCGTCTGCAAAGGGAAGGGAAGCAACACCGAGGACCCATGACACGCACCAGATACTCTGCTCTGTGTTGTATACACGTCTTTCCATTTAAGCTTAAGCCTCAGAGCCTTACAGGGTGGATATCCTACTTTGCAGGTCAGAAAAATGAGGCTCAGAGAGGGCAATAACTTGCTGAAGGCTCCACAGCCAGTATGTAGGACTCAAAGCACAGGCTCTCCCTCCCATGTGGGAATGAAGAGTTCCAGCTGTAACAGGCCAACTGCAAAGGGCTCCCGTCAGGACCCAGGCAGGCCTCCGCGGGCCTCTATGTTCCTCCTCCTCCTCGTGGAATGGGGACTTAAATGCTAATAAAGCCATACAATAGCACCTGTTGATAAATGTCCTCTACCTTAACCTGGAAGTTCCCCCTTAAATACTCTGAACTGACCACATTTCACTCAGAGGCTTCGTAAATTCAACTCCCAGGAAACCACGAAGCAGAATCTCTAAGCGGGAAGAGAAAGTTGTAGAACTTAAAAGGGCATCTCTGTCCGTGATGAACTCTCTCAAAACAAGAGGTAGCATGGGGCTATGAAGAAAAAATGAGACCCAAAGGAAAGTGACTGTGTAAATATCCAACCTCCCAGAGCCTGACAAAGACACAGTACTCACAATTTCTCCAGAAGGCAGATGTATAGTCTGTGGTGCCTGCTTGTTCAAAAATTTGTTTAATAAGCGAATGTTGGCAAACGTCCCCCGTGCCATGATGGCATCATTACCTCGGCGGGAGCCATAGGAGTTGAATTCTCGTGGAGTCAAGCTAATAATGCAAGCAGGAGAGGGGCTAGGTTAGTGAACGGAGCAAAGATAAAACTTAGCTTCCATTAAAAAAAAAAGAGAAAAACCATAGACCCAGATATCCCTCTAAGTCTACTAAGCATCGCTTCTCCAAGGCAGAAAAGCTGTTTCTGTATCTTCTGCTGAGGGGAGAGTCAGAGGTCAGAGGTGGGGCAGTGAAAGGGGGAAATCAGCATTCTCCCAGGATCAACTTCTAGTCTTATAAATCTGGGTAGAAAAACCAGGAGGAACTCTAATGAGTATTTATTTTACTGATTCAGTAGGGTAGCCTAGAAAACTTCACAAGAGATAAAATATTCAAAATGGGTAAGAAAAAGGAAACCAAAAGAGTAATCAGTGTGGGCCAGTCAGGTGGAGTCAAGAATGAGGGAAACATAAAACACATTCTGTAAACTACCTGGAAGGGGGTATAAATTTGTCCCCAAGTCATCAAGAACTCAGTGTATTGGGCAGACACAACTGGCAACATGATTTACATTTCTCATAAGATAAAAATCAGAGTAGTGCCAAAGAGACAGAACAGCTCTTCCTGGTCTTGAAATCAAGGAAAAATCTTGTCTGCGGGCTCCAGTTAAAGGCCACTTTGTGATAGCAGGAACATCTTACAATTAACACAGCGGCCAGCTCACCGAGCTGTTTCTTAAAATGCTAGGATGTATGTGTGAGTGGTAATCTGATCTCACGGTGAGATGTGATCTGAAGATTGAGAGTTTAGGCTTCAGGAGCAGGTGAGCATGTCTATAAACTCCTGAAATTATATCCAGAATGTTGGGGATACGTGCACTTTTCTGGGAAGGTATGATATTTCTTTTCATTCAATTCCCTATACAGTCCATGTCTCCAAAGTGTCAACAATCAGCAATCAAAAAAATCACTGCTTGTTTCCTTAGTTTCTTTCTCCAGCCTCAACCTCTTTGTTTCGCTGTTTGTTGGTGAATCCTTTTCTCCCATTCATTCATTCATTCATTCAACAACTCTTTATTGAGCCCCAGCTATGTGCCAAGAGCTGTTCTCAGGGCTTGAGGTAGATCAAGGAACGACACAGATGAAGATCCCTGCCTTTGCAGGGCTTACATTCTAAAAGGTGGAGACAAAGAAATAATCAAAATAAGAAAATGAGTATCTTACACAAGTGTTACTAGATTGTGGTTAATAACTGAGGGGGGGAAAAAGTAGATTAAGGTGAGGAGAACAGGAGTCCAGTGGGGGTGACCTCATGGAGGAAGACTTGAACTGGCAAGGGAGTTAGCCAGACAGCTATTCTGGGGAAGAGCATCCAAGAGGAAAAAACAGCCCGCTCAACCAAAGGCTCTCAGGCAGAAGGGTATTTGGCCTTGCCTGGAACATTCAACAAATGAGGCTGCCACCGGTGTAGCCAGAGCGGCGTGGGGGAGGGGGAAGAGCAGGGATTCGCCGACCCCTCTCGAATATCACCTGCCCTTCTCCGCTCGATGACTCCCACTCAAAGTACAATCATATCCCTTTAGAATCTTACCATATGCGTCTGTGTGTAAGAAGTCCCTATACCTTTAATACAGTAGTTGCCCCATGTTAAAAAAAATCTTGAGATGGACTCCTGTGCATCCCCTGCTCCAGAGGTGGGCTAGCTTCTGAAACTTCCAGCACTCCTGTCTCTGGGGAACGTGGAATACTTTTGCTCTGAACACGACTGTCCCATAGGATGCACCAGGAGGAGGCAGGGACTGAGTGGGGCTCAGTAGGGCAGGGAGGCATGAAGAAAACCCCTCAGCCACCAGGAAAGCGAGATGGGGCCAAGGCCGTTTTCTTCTCCCACTGACAAAAAAAAAGGAAAGAAGGAAAGACAGAACGAAAAAGGTGTTGGATTTTGTTCTTAGATTAGCTCTGGGCCCATCCCTGAAGACACTGATTCGGGAGGTGCAGACGGGAGCCAGGAATGTTGATCTCCCCAGATGATTCTCTTGGAAAGTCAGATCTGGGACGGACTCCGATCACTCTTGGCGTATTAGCGGACAGTAGGTAATACTGGGAGAGTACCCATTAAAGTCAGTCTGTGACTGAAGGATCGGCCGATGAATGTGGCAGCGGCAAATCTGTAGTCAGTCACTACGTGTCTCAGGCAGGAGGCGGCATCGCAGGGCAAGGGACACCCCTGCCGAGTGCGCCGCAGGCTGAGAGCAGAGCCTGGACTCTAATGGGGGCACTTGCGCAGAAGGAAGATCCCCTCTGCTGGGGTTTCCTTGCTGACAAATCTCCCAAGGAAGCTGGGAAGCAGTAAACAGATAGGGTGACTGGTTTTCAAGCCTCAGGGTTCACTGAAAAATCAGTCTGATTGAAAAGAGAACATATGAAAAGAAATACTGGCCTCATTCACTCCATTTCTGCCTTTTAGTCTTTCTTCCCCTCACTCACACTTACCCTCTGTTAGTTAAGTACCGAGCAGCAGGGCTGTTTCTTGCAATATTTCCAGCCGGAGAGATGTGGTCCGTTGTTACGGAATCCCCCAAGTTTAACAGCACGTAGGCATCCACTATAGATTTAGGGGGCTGGATATCCAAAGTCTAGCAAAGAACACAGCAAGTTAGTGCTGGCTCAGGTTTTCTCCAGCAAGTCACCAGGGAGTCTGAACAGTTTCCACAGTGCACCGTGGACCCAAACCGGATGACAGCTGTACATCGCTGCACAGAAAATTCTAGGTTTTTTGGTTTTATCAGGGGTGCTTAGAAAAGTAAGGTGAATTTACTCAAAACATTTACATCCCACCCCTGAAGGGAGGCAAAGTATTGAGACTACTCCCTCAAAAGCAATAGCGATATAGCTGCAAATGACCTTCTGTCTCCACATCCAGGGAACTCAGATGCTGAGGACAACCAGAATCCTGACTTCCACTCCCCCCTTCCCACCCAGGAGAGCACGGACTCCTTGACCGTCAGTTATATGTAAGATTTCCCTTATTTTTTTGAGTATAAGGTTTAAATATAGCAGGCCCGGGGATGCTGTGCGGGGACAGTCGATCCCTCAGACTTTTCTATGTCCAGGTGGTACAGGATGGCCAGGGTGTCTCCACACAGCCACACAGAACCCCTGGACAGAGACACTGTAGGCCCATTAGAACCAAACACCCCAGCTTCTCAGTATTGTCTGCTCGGGTTTGTAAAGGTTTCAGTGGAATGCGTAGTCAAATCAAGGACAGAGGGTAATCAAGTAGATTCTATAAGGAAAGAAACATTTTGAAAAACTTATTTTGTTAAAAATAAAATCATACCAGGTTTTCAAAGAACGGTGGTGACTTAATGTATGTAGATTTGGGATTCCAGCAATATAGCTTGTCCGATGGGGCTGCTAAGGCATTCCAGCTTTCATTCACGGTCTTACAAACAAAAAGATAAAGGAAAGAAAAGCAAATCTAATCACATTCCACTCTAAGGAAAGTTTGACATGCAAGAAGAAACTATATATTCTAAGAGTACAATAAAAACCATTCTTAGTGTAAGACCCTCCAGGTACGCCAAGTGAAACAGTCAGACAAAGACAGATACCATGACTTCCTTGATATGTGGAATCTCAAAAACAAAACGAACAAACAAAGCAGAAACAGATCCATAAACACAGAGAACTAACTGATGGTTGCCAGAGGGGAGGGGAGGTGCGAGGATGGGCAAAAAGGGGTACAGGGGAGGGGTAGGTATAGACTTCCATTTACGGAATGAGTAAGTCACGGGGATGAAAGGTACAGCGTAGGGAATTCAGTCAATGCTATCGTAACAGAGTTGAACGGTGACAGATGGTAGCTACACCTGGGTGATGCACAGAGTTGTCCGATCACTACGCTGTCCACCTGAAACCCATGTAACATTGTGTGTCAACTATACTTCAGTAACACCAAAACCAAAACAGTTCTGATTCTAGTCACACACAGGAGCTCCTTTACACTAAGACAATCTCATGCCCAATGACTTAAAAATACATATACACTGTGATAGGCAGCCTTGAAGATGGCCCCAAGGACCTACCCCCCACCTCCCTGGCATGCACACCCTTAAGCAGTCGCCTTCTGCTGAGTGTGGGCTGAACCTAGTGACTCATTTCAAAGATCAGGTTATAAAGAGACTGCCTTCTGTCTCTCTCACCCTTTCCTGCTTGCTCTGATGGAAGCCAGGACCATGCTGTGAGCTGTGAAGAGACCCCCGAGCAAGGCAATGAGGGAGGCCTCTAGCGAACTGTCAGCAGGGAACTGAGGCCCTCAGTCTGAAAGCCTATGAGGCGTATTATCCTGCCAACAACCATACAAATGGCCTTGGAAGTGATCCTCCCCCAGCTGAGCCTTCAGATGAGCTGCAGCACCAAAGGACACCTTGGTTGGAGCCTGAAGGCAGAGGCACCCAGGAACCATGAGATTTCTGAACCACAGGAACCATGAGATAATAAATGGTGTTTCTAAGTTTTGGGATAATTTGTTGTACAGCAATAGATAACTAATCCATACACATAATATAACTTAGAAAACAATAATTCAGATAGTACCAAAGGGGAAATTATTTACTCTCTGAAGACTGGCGGAAGTAGACGTCCAGGTCATGTGGACACTGGATAGCAAATGACCGCTGCTATGCATTAAAGTCAGCTTGAACTGTCTCCACGGGGCCATGACCCCGGCCTTTGGAGAAATGCATTTAACCCAACGCCCAACAAGCTTGCTCCTACCACTTCTTGATGAGCAACTTGTGGGAGGGCATGGTGCATGAATCTATCCCCATTTGACCCTCTTCCCCAGAGAGTCTGCTCTCTTATTTCAAACCCAAGCCCCAGTCAGCATTCCTTGGGTCAGCCTAACACAGATGGCAGAGAAAGGAATAACATCTAAGGGTCTCAGAAAATGATACTGAGCCCCCCCACATTTTCTCCCTATTTGTCAAATGCTCAGAAAGGTTTGTTTGTTTGTTTGTTTGTTTGTTTGTTTGTTTATTTATTTATTTATTTATTTATTTATTTATTTATTTCAATAGTTTGGTGCTTTCTCCTCAGTGGCTTTTTAAGCATCCAAATAGTTCTGAGAGGTATATCCAACCAATGAACTCTACCTCAGTGACACTCGGGGCTGGGGCGGGGGGGTGTCGCTGGCTAGGAATCACACACAACCTAAGGCCTCTCTTTTTGAGGCTGCTGCCAAATCTGGGAACCCTGTCCAGATCTGGGAACATCTGGGGAGTGTAGAGTGTGTAAAAATGTAAGTCACAGGAGAAAATGACCGAGAACCACTTCCTTGGTTATCTGAAGAAAGAAATGTGACTTTCTCTAGTTTCCACCGCCATCAGCCTCGGGGTCTGCAGAGATGCCACAAAGGAACGGCTATCCCCTGGAAGCATGAGGGCAGAGCGGGTGGGGACCTCACCTCTATCTTCTGGTAGACCTCCTTAAACATGCCAGGGATCACGTACTGACGCTCCACCGCCTGGATCTCGTCTCTGGTTGGCCAGATGTCTTTCAGAAATACCTGTTGTCCCTTTGCATTGACCCCTGAGGAAAACAGGTTTATTAAGGAGAAGAACTGCATTTAATCCCCCATTTTCATGATCCTATCCAGTCAAATCCCGTTCTCTGTGGTAGAAATGTTATGTGAAGTCCATGCAAACACTGTGTAGTGAAGCATGAATTGCTGGCGCCGTGGGATGTGGGTTAGGCTCCTGACAGCCTCTCGTCACAATGTTTTCGGCACCCAGTCAATACGTAATCTTGCTTCATGTGTGCTTCGGCTTAAAAACACCTTACCTAGTACATCCTGCTGATGCGTTAATGCCGAAGTCCCAGCCAACAGCACTACAACTCATGCCTGAACAAAGTCTGCCTCCCACAAGGCACCCCACAGCCTTTCTGGGCTTCCGTGCGCTAGGCAGCACTTGGGCACTACGCTTGGGGGCTATTTTAAAAAGTGAAATCACCAAAACCACAAAAATGTGGAAAGACATGGCACTACACAGAGCACGAACAGGATATGTATTTAGAGTGTGAGAGCTGAGGGGAGAAGCAGAGCCCTGCCTCGTTCGGCTGCAGCTGAGAACGCACATGTTGAGTGACACAAAGCCTGTACCCCTCTGTGTGTGTCTGCAAATGACCATGGAGGCTTAAACTACATTTTAGTGAAGAGGCAAATCTGCAAATATCGAATCCACACATAATGGGATCAACTATAGCTCTAGTGGGGCTTTCCTAAAAGTGAATTGAAGGGGCGCTGTGTCATAGTATTGAATCTACTGAGAACGGACTGAGGAGGACACAGTAAGACCTCCAGAGGGAAGGAAACAAAGCATCATTTCTCCAGATTTGGGGAAGTTGAACTATCTGGGATGTGTTCCTACAGAGGATACGTTAAAACAGTGCCTCGCATTAGATAAAAGCAGGAGCTAGAAAGAGAAGAACTGGGGAAGAAGCCAGAATAGCATGCTCTCTCTGACTTTGCAGATTAATTTCCTTTTGTCGTCCCTTGTCCTTGGTTGCTTCTAGTCTGTTCCAGTTCTGTCTTCGCCATGTATGGGGGAGAAAAGAAAAGACTCCCCTCATCTTTGTTAGTTCTAGTAATCGTTATTTATTAAGGAAGGTGGTTACTTTTCCTCCAGTGATATTTTCAAATTCACTGGAAAACAAACAAGGGCAGCCACACAAATGACATCTTACCCAGTGGCTCTTTCTCAAAGTTGATCCTGACGGTCCCAGCAATTGCATAGGCTATCACCAAGGGTGGAGAGGCTAAATAGTTGGCCCGGGTATTGGGGTGGACTCGACCTTCAAAATTCCTGTTCCCAGAGAGTACTCCGACAGCGACCAGGTCTCCCTGAGTCCGGCAAGAGAAAGATCAGGTCACACGGAGAAGGGGCCCAGGCTTCTTGTCTTAGACCACCTGCTGAACTCTCCCATCATGGGGGGAGTTCTTTAACCTCCCTTTCAACCTGGTCCTCTGCCTGCAGGGAGAAGAGCACACATGGGTGTCCCTGGGGAGACACTCTGGGTCAAAGGACACCGAGAGACATGGTTTCTGCTCCCGAGGAAATCCCAGGTGTGTCAGAAGGCAGCATCCTGGTGACTTCGCCACCCGGGGCCTGAGAACAGTTGAAAGCTAAAGGAAGCCACTCTGACCTCCATCGGTTCTGTAATTCAGGCAAACCAAATCGTGCTTCTCAACGCTACAGAATTTGCGGCCAAAAATCAAGGCCATGCAGTGTAGTTTTGATTCCACTGTTTGCGTGGAGATGTGTCTGACTTGGAGCCAGGTTTCCGGTGACCAGGCACACAGAGGCCTGGAGCTGTCTGTAGTGCAAGAGCCCGTGTGTGCCAGGCACTGCTACAAGTCCTTCATGTCCATCTCCGTGCTCACAACTCTGTGAAACAGGTCCTATCATCGCCAATTTACAGCTAGGAAAACTGAGGCACAAGGTAGACCGCTAGTCAGGTTAGCTTGACTCCAGAGACTGTATGTCTAAACACATTCCCTGCTGCCCTGGGCCTTCCTGAGGCGACCAGCCTTCTGGGCACACATCATATGAAAAGAGCCAACAGCTCCGAAGCCCCACAGGCTCCTCGGCCATTACCTGCGTGATGGCTTCGACCACAGGTTCAGGTAAGGGCCCGCTGTTGCCGATGCAGGTCATGCAACCGTAGCCCACGACGTCAAACCTAGGCGCAGGAAGAGAAGCAAGGCGGAGAGTGAGTCTCAATGAGCTGCTCTGCCGAGGACAGTTCTAGAGACCGCTGACTTAAAGAGACCGGCAGCACGTGGAATAATTGTAGTACTGTTCCTATAAAGCTTTCACTCTCAGGAGGGTTGTAAAAAAAACAATCCTTCTCATCCAAATTAGGAATAGTGTGGAAACTGGAGGAATTGTATTTGGTAACAAATGACTCATTTATGCCAAGGAATTAAAACATTTTTAGCCATGGTAAGTGATTATTTTCATACCAAACAGCAGCCTCTCAGTTGCCGAGTCAACGCTAGCCCATCGCATAACCTCCGTCAACTGAGAAAATGCACCCCGTCCTCCAGAAGGGTGCAGCACGACACCTTGGCACAGGCTTGATTTCAGCCCTGCTTTGCCCTTCAAGGGCACCCTTGTCTGATGAACAATGAGCACAACTGTCCACAGGAGGGCCTGACTCTGTGGGGACGTAAGGGCTGAAGTCTCCTCACTGGCTGACAAGACTCATTAGATACCATCAGATGAGCTGATGTGTGTTACATGGTGACGCGGCGAGACACATGTAGAATGAAATACAACCCGAGCGCCGGTGTAAAAGAAAATTCCTCCTCACCCAAGCTGGGACAGGTACGGCATGACCCCACTCTCTCGCAGGTAGTAGGTGACCACACCACTTCCAGGAGACAGGCTGGTTTTGATGTAAGGCTTCACGTTCAGGCCAGCATTCACAGCTTTCTTGGCTAACAGTCCTGTGAAATGGTCAACACCGACACAGTGTGGGGTGGCTGTCCACTCTAGGTGCCAGGGCGGGTTCAGGAAAGAGACCGACCCCTCGATCTGCGTCGCCCGCCACTGCCTGACAAAGCCCCCATTCGTGGTGCTTTCTGCTCTTTCTGCTGCCGAGCACCAACCAACAGCTCACTGGCCCAAAGTCATTTACACGGACGCAGTAAACTCAGAATTAGTCAAGGAAATGGAGAGAGATCGGCTTTTTTTTTTTTTTCAAGAGATAAACTTAAAAACATTGAGGAATATATTATAGAATAAATTTTAACTTTTGGAGGGAAAGCAGTCTAATTACGTTTTATTTGGATGAAAATTATAATTGGTAGGGCCCTTTCTTAAAGGATATGAACTGTGTACTGGTTGGTGAGGAATGCAGTCAGTCTAGAGTAAAATTCTAGTCCCCAGGTATTCTTTTAAAGTAGAAAATCAAGAGCTCTAGGCCACTGGAATTTTGGCAGATACAGAGACTATTACAGAAACACTGGGTGCTCTCTTAACAATGTATCATAGAATTTGGAAAGAAATGAGGAGTGGGGGTAAAAAGGCACAAAAAGCTATAGACAAGCTGGTGACTTGTCTTGAGGAAACTTGTTTGCTCCAGACAAGAAAAGCTTAGGGGTCAACAGATGAATTCTTGGACAAAGAAGGTTTTCCTTATGTACTTGGGCACTTTATAAAGAAAGAACTCTTCAATGATCTTTGGTCTGTGGACACAACAGGAACTCTTGGGAATGATAAAAAAAAATATCTGGACACTAAAGAGACTTCTATTAATAAAACTCGGTATGTAAATATTAACTATTTGACCAGAACTGCGTAATAGCCAAGTTAAGTTTTATCAGCCAGTGCCCCGTGCCCTAATTCAGATGCACTTACAATACTTCTAAGAGACTGAAGTCCAGTGTACAAAAAGGCCTATCAGGGGTTTTAAAGAGACTAATCTGTGATATGAAAACAGTTTTTTTTTTTTCTACAGTCTGAAAAAAAATTTTAAGCTTTACCAAAAATTCATCTTTTTTTTTTTTTTTTTTTTTTCTACTTATTTTCTGCTTTAATTCTAAAGATTAGTATGTATTAGGTATTCTACTTTACATACTTTGCTTTGAACACTCATTATTGTGTAAACACTTCTGGACCAACAAATCTCTGCATCTGGCAAAGACAAGGTTCGGGGAACTACACGTAGATTCAGGTAAGCCCCAGGGTTGTGTCTTGAGAGATTCTCACCCATATGTCCACATGACCACGGGGAGGAATTCAAATGCACTCACCTGCTCCTAACATCACAGACGGGTTACTGGTGTTTGTACAGCTAGTAATAGCAGCGATGACCACCGACCCATGAGTGAGGGTGAATTCGCTATTATTATAGATAAACGTCTTCTGGTCATTATGATGGTCCAGAGCAACCTGGAATCCTTTAAACCCTTGCTACGGGAAGAAAAAAAAAATGGAAGAAAAAAACACAGTGAAATGGTCTCACTTTAGAAGGAAAAGAAATACCTTGGTAACTATAATTTTAAAAGCCAATTTTTAGCAAAATATAAACATCTCATCTGAAATGCTACAGAAAACTGAAAGTCCTCTTTATTGTTTTTAAACCTTTATAAAAGGCAGTCATAATTTCTGACTCTTCCTCTGCTTTGAAGTCCTATTAACAGTGACTTGCTTCTCATCTCAAAAATGGAAACGCTATAACTACAAATTTAGTTCCAAGTTAGTCTAATTAAACCCGATGACATTATTGTAGAGCTTCATGGATATGAACCAAGGCCACTGATTCTAACATGATGGAAACTTAGAAAAAGGTGTCCTTTTGGCCAGATTCAACTAATCATGGTCAATAAGGCAAATTAAGTACAGCTGAACATTTGGTGTCATGCTGGTGGCCCCAGGATAAAACTTATCAAGTATCTTAATCATCATTTGGGGAGATGTTCATCGAAAATCTGCATAAAAGATGCTAGGTACTTTGTGGAGTATAAAGGTGATTCTGACACACATCATCTACTCAAACATACAGTCCAATAAGGGAAATCAGACCTGCAAATAATATAAAGGACCAGCAATGTAAGTTCAAGAACATGGATGCCATCCAAGGGTTTCAGACCAAGTGTCATCAAGGTTCAAACGAGGGACCGATGACTTTCTGCTATGAGATGTGAGGCCATGCTGTGGAGTCTGAGAGACACCGACATGCAGGGAGGGGGAGGAGCCATCCAGGTGGGTGGAGGAGGGGCATGAACGAAAGTACAATGGCCGGGAAAGCTGGGGCAAGTCTAGTACACAGTGTGATGAGAGTTATAGGAAAAGCAGATGTGTGGGCTGAGTTGTGTTCACAGATGGTAAAGGGCTCTAAGGAAGCTGTGTGGCCCTCGGCTAACGGGAGAGGCACCGAGGACTTCAGGATGGAGAAGAAACGCCCTCAGCGTCAGGCTTCAGGAAGCTGCGGGGTGGTGGTGGAAAGCAGCGTGGGCTCTAAGACACGGGGCGCAGGGCTGGGTTGGGAGGGGGGACTTCCACCTGCCTCTCCCCGGCTCCTACCTTGGCTCCGAGGCAGTTCTCAAAGTCCTTTTTCATGTCGGTTACAGCGACTTTGTCCTGAGGCCTTTTTGGTCCACTGCAGCAAGGCACGACCGTTCTCAAATTTAATTCCACAACCTGTCCACCCAAAAGAGAAGGAACTCAAGAAGTGACATCGTACCTTCGGAGAAAAAAAACGCAAGCTGGGCCACAGAGCCGAAAACACCACAACCACAAAAACAAACTAAACCATCACATTCATAAACAAGGACTCAATGTTCTTTTTAATGCTTAAGGAATGAATTTCCAAAGATCAGGACGGGCATGTAAGTGGCGTGGGACAGGCAGGAAGCCTTATCACCTCCCAGAAAGACCAGGGTGTGCACCCAGCTGCTGGCCAGCGTCTTCTATGCATCTGTCTTTGCAAAGCAGCTGATGCATCCTTTTTAATGGTGAGCTTAGTTTGAGATGGGTTTTCTACTAAGATGATACATAAACCATTGTCCTTTTTTCTAAAATGACTTGGTAGGATGCCGCCATTCAGGCATCAATGCCAGGCAACGGGCCTGGGTCTGATTGCATATTTCCGTCCCTCAAGTATACTATGAAACAAAACCAGGATCCCACATCTAGGTGACCCTCTGGGCTTGCCTGTCCAGAGAAATGTGGAATCAGTTTGCCCCCTAGAAAATGAATGAAGGTAAATCACTGGATAAACCGGAACTAATTGCCATGCTCTACCCCTATTTCTTTTTCTTCTGCAGTGATGAGATGAGCCTTTAAACAGCCCTACTCCCTCTGGCGAAGCCATCTTCAAAGGTCTTCCACATTAGGGGAGTCAGTCAGTAGGTCAGAAATGGGGTGCCCACTCAACTTAATGGCCAGGAGAAAAGGAAGAAGTTATTTTATGTTTACAATTCCTTATCCTCTTAATTGTTTCAGTCTTTTAAAACCTTGTTCTTCTGTGATGACTTGGTGGTGACTTATTTCCTACAAGTACACCCCCTCAGAAAAAAACATACACAACTATGGGGCGCCTGGGTGGCTCAGTTGGTTAAGCGACTGCCTTCGGCTCAGGTCATGATCCTGGAGTCCCGGGATCGAGTCCCGCATCTGGCTCCCTGCTCAGCAGGAAGTCTGCTTCTCCCTCTGACCCTCTTCCCTCTCGTGCTCTCTATCTCTCATTCTCTCTCTCTCAAATAAATAAATAAAATCTTTAAAAAACAAACAGACAAACAAACAGACAAAGAACATACACAACTAAAATCACTGCCTCCAGGAAAAGGAAACACTCTCTCATACCTGGGCAAAGTCTGGGTCTTGAGAGGGGTCACTGAAATCCCGAAACATTCCTACAGCTTGAAGATACTTTTTCATCTGCTTTACTTTTTCTTCATCACGACCTAAATGGGTATTTTAAGAAATAACAAGTAACAGAGGTTAAGATTTCCCGGTGAGACGAATGCCTCCACCAGCAATTACACAAGGAAGGTGCATTTCGCTTACACACACACCTCAAGTTTTGCTGATATTTCACCTTTCTGTCTAATATTCTGACTCTCTGGCTCATGCTGCTATTTACTGGGGATCATTCACTGATCTGGACTATTTTCTGAAGCAGATTCTGGTCCTACCTGTAAAAACTCCCCCTCTTTGGTCCTCATCCTCCATCCAGAGGACCTCAGGCTTAGCACATCGTCAGAGCACACCTTCATCACTAAGATCACTTGCTTCCCATCAAAGAACCAGTAGTAGAATACCAGCACAGACATCTAGGTTTCCAGAATACCTGAGCTCTTTCTACTGGCCACACCACGTCTATGTTATATTTCTGAAATCCCGACAACCATTTTGATTCCATAGAGAAAAGGAAAAAAAAAAAAAAAACAATAAATGTGACCATGTGCACTCCAAGGGGCAGAGGCAGAAGGCAGGGCTCTGATCCTCAGAGTTCCAGGAAGCCTGACCCAGGGCCTTCCGCTCTCACGGGTCTGCACTTACCCGTCTGCACCAGGTACTTGATGCTAACGTCATCAACCGGGAAGAAGGCAGCAGTTGCTCCATACTCTGGACACATGTTTGCAATTGTAGCTCGGTCAGCAATGGACAACTGGGGTACGCCTGGCCCGAAAAACTCCACAAATTTGCCCACTACCCCCACCTGGCGCAGGTGCTGAGCAGCAGAACAAGAAAAAAGCTTGAGACTCAACAGCCCATCTTTAAAATGCAGAGCTAGCACTTTGTAATTCTTACAAACTAGCCTGGTGAGTAAACATAAAAAATAAACTGGCCCAACATATTTTTGATTACTTTAAAAAACAAAATTTAAAAAGTAATGTTAACTAAATATGGGGAATCTTGGATTGGATTGGATCCTGAAACAGAAAAGGGTCATTACTGAAAAAACTGGAGAAGTTTCTAGTTTAGTTAATAGTGTTGTACCAATGTTCTTAATTTTGATTAATATACCATGGTTATGTGGGATGTAAACGTTTGCGGAAGTTGGGAGAAAGGTAACAGGAACTCTCTGTTTTATCTGTATTTACAGATAAAACTCTCCTGTAAATCTAAAACTATGTCAAAACAATTATTACAAAAAAAAAAAGGAAAGGAAAAGTAATGCCCAAAACACAGATAACATTAATAAAAGTTTTCCAAAGTGAGAAGGATTTTTTTCTCTCTAATGAGATCACTGGAAGCGCCTAGAAGTGCTAAAAATTAAATAAATTCTTTCACCCTAAACAGTCTTGCACTAGTAAATAAGGAAGAGGGTATAACGAACAAATTTCCTGAACACAAGTACAAGTTCATTGTAACCGAAAGATCTAGCCAGTCTGACTCCCATCTCTTTTCCAGACATGCCATCAGCCAGGGCTGGGGCCTCCGCGGCTCACCTGGCCCTGCACAAAGCCAATCTCACCCGCAGTGTGGACAGCCACACCGACAGGCTCTTCAGGTTACGGAGGCTTCTGCTAAATTCTGTGGGCAAGTCCTACATCATTCTACATTTGAAGAACAATGCACAGACCTCTGTGAAAAGCTACAGTATTCAAATAAATGCCATTCCAAATTCCATAGGGATTAAATCAAAGAGAAACATTTTTTGGACTTTAGCAGGATACTAGTTATCCCTAACACTCCAGGCCTCCTAACTATACAACCAGAAAAAACTATGGTTGTGATAATAAAAAAATATCACTTTTCTAATAATCTTGCAAAATGAAACTGCTCTCCTTTTGCAGAGCAAGCAAATCATACACACACAAAGAAAAGATTATTTCTTGCAAAAGCTAAAGAAAAAGGAAAAAAAAAGTACTATTTCAGCTTGGAGAAACATCTGTTACAATAATGTAACTTCGAATACAGAGAAGGGAATTTAAAAAGTCAGACATTAAAGTCATAGAAACAGTTTGTTATTTACACATAAAGAAGAACCATGTGGAAAAATGTAGTCAAAGTATAAACACGCTTGGGAATGAGTCTTACAACCTTGGGATAGCGCTTATTTCTAGGAATGCGGAGGATGGCCTTAGCCATAAATATTTCATTTTATTTCTTAAAAAACATACCCACAGGGAGAGCTCTGAAGCAAATGTGGCAAAATGTTACCATCTGTTAAGTCTAGGTGGTGGTGCATATGAATGCCATTTTAACTTCTGTGTATTTGAACTCTTTCACACTTTCAGAATATTTTTTTGAAGAAAAGGAGCCATGCAGCGGAGGAAGAGTAAAATGGACATTAATTGTCTAAAACTTAACCACAGAACTCTCCCCTTATCTCATCTCTTTTTAATAATCATCAACGTCCTATTTCCTAGAGCACATGGAAACCAAGAGGGACTCCATCGTGCATTTGCTCCCTGTCCTTTGTCCCAGAGACCATCCAAGACCACGGAAGAGGCAGCATATCGTTACCTTGGTAATGGTGAGCACGATGTCAGTGGACGTCACCAGAGGGTGGGGATTTCCCACCAGCTTGTAGCCAATCACCTGCGGAAGCACCATGCTGATGGGCTGGCCCAGCATGACCGCTTCTGCTTCGATTCCGCCCACTCCTGCAAGGAAGGCATGACGGAAGAACGCTTTCAGTGTGCCTCACTATGTCCCTCAAGCGTCACCCAACCCGCTACAGTGCTGTGCTAGTGTAGTAAAGTGCTTTACTAGTGTAGATCTGGGGTCTGTAAAGAACAGCTATCTTTTCTGGATTTCCCTCCACAGAATTTTTAACAAGTATTTCTCAGAATGTGGTCCCCAGAACACCTGTATCAAAATCCCCTTGATTCTACACCAAGTGGAGGATGGGGTTTGGGAGTCTCCATTTTTTAACAAACAGCTCAGGTGATTTGCATTTATTCTAAATGTCCCTAACCTTTATTCCAGTTCATTCTTCCAAACATTATTACTGAGTGCCTACTAGGCATCAGGTACTTTTCTAGGCACTGGAAATCCAGCAGTAAACAAAGGCATGCAAAGTCACGCTCCCGGGATGTCACGGGATCAGTGGAAATCAAGCTACACACTATAGAACAGCATATATGGAATAGGAACCCCGGAACGATACTCACCCCAGCCGAGGACACCCAAGCCATCAATCATGGTAGTGTGCGAGTCCGTGCCCACGAGGCTGTCCGGGTAGTAAGAGCCATCGTGCTCGAATACCACTCTTGCCAAATACTCCAGATTCACCTGGTGGATGATTCCGGAGCCGGGGGGGATAATCCGCATGTTGCGAAAAGCCTGAGAACCCCACTAGAATCGAGAACGCAAAGCACACCATGAATACCCGCTGCGTTTCTCCGCAGCCCATCTCCTTGGCACCTCTCCTTGTACCCAGGTATATAAAGAAACAACCAATGGAACCAAACTCCGCCCGTACCTTTAAAAATTCAAATCGTTCTCTATTTCTTTCAAATTCCAGGTCTTGATTCTTCTGTAAACTGTCTGTCCTGTTCAGAGAGAAAAGCTAAATGTATAAATTTTAAGGCTTCAAATGTTACTAGTCGAACTTATAGGTGATAAACACACTGGCAATTTCGTCCACAGGCTTGCTGGGTGGTACTGATGCATTCATTCACATGGGAAAGGAGAGGCAATCGGCAAAAGTAAAAAGAATAATCATTATTTGCTTCAAGTGATCCCTACCACACCTTTAAACATGGTGAGTAGCAAACATTAAGTGAATTTAAGTTGAAACTAATCTAATCACAAAGCCTGACTTTTAGGAACAGATTCTAGACACCTGACATGTGGAGACGGCCAGACAAAGACAGGGAGGTGCTCCTTGGGCAAAAAAGGACTAGAAGCACTTAGCATTTACTCGACAAAGACCACATTCAGTTACCACACTGATTGTTTTCTCTAGGTGTGAACAGTCTCCAAGGTAAGTGTCAGCTGCTTTAATGGAATCAACTCCTGAGGGTGCCTTAGAGCAGGGGGCCACAGATTCTACCTCCACAGGCCAAGTCCAGCCCAGTATTTATACACGTTTGGCCCTGAAGCAAGCCAATAGTTTTACATTTTTAAAAGTTGTTAAAAAAAAAAAAAAGGATACGTGGGCAGAGACAGTATGTAGGCAGCAAAACCTAAAATATTTACTCTTGGTCCTTAAAAAAAAATGTGCTGATCCCTGATGTAGAGTATGGATGTCTGTGAGTGTGTGTATGTGTTAGCAAAAAGCAAAAGGTAGAGAGAAAGGAGATGCCAACACAGGGGAACGAGGTAGGATAAGAATGCTGCCCCCGAACAGCAGAGCCTCTGGACCCTCTAGACCAGGTGCGGCTACTCCTGAAGGTACTCATCTCCTTCTCACTAGTACACTGAGGCCTCCATCCACATCCCCATTTCCAATGTCTCTGGGGCACCCGCATCAGGCATACCTCGGACACCACACAGTCAACGGGTCAAACCTAATGCATGAGCTTCCTTCCCGAATCTCATCCCCATCCCTATCTGTCCGTATCATCTAATGACCTCCCCTCCCACCACTTAGTTTTTTACAACTATCAAAGCATTTATTCCAGAAATAGCCTAACTGGCTCCTGTCAGTCTATTCAGTCTACCTTTGTACCGTCACCAGAATCCATTCTCTAAAACACAGATCATGACCCATCTGGAACCTGCCGATGGCTTCCCATTTTCTACATGAAGTATGAATCCCTTGCCTTAAAAAACAAAGTCCTTCCATGTGACTCAAGCTTCCTTTATAAGTCCTCTGCTATCTCCTGGTCCAAACTTTCTTCAACTTCAGCCACACCGAAGCCCTCAAACTCTCCCAAACCTCACTTCCCTCACGCTCCATTCTCTCCGTGTAGAGTGCCTTTTCCAGTGCTTCCCTCTTTGTAAACCCCATTCGGGACCTGGAGCAAGTGATGCTTTCGGCAGAACCCTCTAGACTCCCCGGGTCAGGATGATTTGCTCCCTTCTCCGTGGTTACTACATTTACCAACCGCACTGTGTTCTTTACTTTCTCTCTTCTAAGCTAACCTGTTTCTTCAACAAATACTCGCACACAGTAGGTCTGTTACATGGATTTAATTTTTAAAAAGGAAGGAAGGCATCTTTGGGACACTGCTCTTAATCATATGGGGCCTCCCCTAGCTCTTCTGCTTGGAACACTTGTGGGCGACCAGTCGGGGTCCCTTTCCCTCTTGCCTCCAACACTAGAAGGACATCAGAGCCTCTCCCAGCAGAAAAGCAGGGTTGAAAGGGCAACATTCACCCCGGAGAACGCTGGCAAAGTCAGTCTGACGTAAACAATGTGTCCACAGGACAAGCAGAAGCCAGAAAGGCTGAGGCTGTTTTAAGACAGGTTAATTCCGGGTAAAAACCCATTTACGCATTAAAACAAAACATCTTTTTTGGCTCAAATTAACAGTTCTAGTTCCTGGAATGAATAAATGGACCTAGAATTCGCATTCTTCTACCACTCAGAACTTCCCTAAATTCACCAATCGACTGAGCTTTAAATAAGGTCTCTGAATATCAATGGCCTCACAGACTAAAGAGGAAATTTCTCCTTAGTTACATAATTTGAATTCAGATTTGGACGTATGCCAAAGTTTCTGAGTATTACATTTAATAGTACTCCAGAAATTCACAAACAGTATTTACAGAGGAGACAGTTTCCATACCCATGAACTCCAGTCAGAAATTGTTATGATATTCTTGTTGGGACTTTTTTTTAAAAGATTTTATTTATTTAAATAAAATAAGGAGAGAGACAGCGAGAGAGGGAACACAAGCAGGGGGTGTGGGAAAGGGAGAAGCAGGCTTCCCGCTGAGCAGGGAGCCCGATGTGGGGCTCGATCCCAGGACCCTGGGATCATGACCCGAGCCGAAGGCAGACGCTTAACCGACTGAGCCACCCAGGCGCCCCCTGTTGGGATTTATTTTAAAAAAAAGGTTATTTTAAAGAAAACTTTGAAAAACTTAAATGAGTTAGGTAGACTTTCCATTCCTCAAAATGGTGAAGCCAATTATTATTATTCAAATCAGGCAAAGAGCTCAGAAATACTTAAATGAGAATATTTATCATCCGAGCACCCCTTCACAGTTTTTCTAGCTCATTTCTGGAAATAGCTGGAAATCAGCACAAAGCACACGGTTCCACAAAAGTTGAGATATATCACATTTAATTCCTTGCAAAAACGAAGAAAGAGCCTGGGAGGTCAAATTGCAAAACCAAACTCGAGCAATAAAAACAAAACACCACCAGTGAAAACACTTCTAATAGAAATGTTGTCTTTAATTTAAAAAAAAAAAAAGTGTTTGCTAGATTTGGATATCAGTTTGGATCAAAGTCCTCCTCCCCTCCCCCCACCCCCAGAATTTGCTGTTTTCATAATAATGTTTTCAGTAGTGCAGTATAAATGAAAAGGGTCCATAAAAAATTGAAACCAGAGTTGATGGATTTCAAGGTTTAAAGAGGAAAAACAAATTACAGTGAACTTCGTGATGACCCAGATTCCTACTGCTTAATAAACAGTCAGGAGCTCTTTAAATTTTGAGTCAAAAGACTTCAGACTTTAAAACAATTCAATTCTGGGGCACCTGGGTGGCTCAGTTGGTTAAGCGACTGCCTTCGGCTCAGGTCATGATCCTGGAGTCTCGGGATCGAGTCCCGCATCGGGCTCCCTGCTCAGCAGGGAGTCTGCCTCTCCCTCTGACCCTCTCCCCTCTCATGCCCTCGATCTCATTCTCTCTCTCAAATAAATAAATAAAATCTTTAAAAAAAAAATTCAATTCTGTCCCCACCAGTCCTTTCACCTTCCAGGCAGTGAAATAAAGGTAAATCATCAACACCAGTGAGAATCTCCAAAAAACATAAAGTTGCCCCTGATTTTGTGAGGCTACTTTTATAACTTCTGAAGTGGGGTGTTAGGAAATATCCTTATTCTCAAATAGAATAACATTTTGTGTATGAATTTTTAATTTTTCCCTTTTGACACCAAACCATTAAATTGAGCTCATGTGATTTAAGGGAAAAAAAAAGATAAGCTGCCTAAGGATGAGGTTAGAGTCCGAAGGAAAGGGAACAGCTGCTGAGGATCTGTTTGTTCCAAGAACCATCAATTCAGGGGACAAGGCAGATTTCTCTTTGTCCTGAGTTTATCTGGTTTGGATATTGGCAACATTCATCTGAGAACAGCCAGTTACCACAATTCTCTTGAGGCTGAATGGAGCCCACTTAAATCCACAAGGAAAGCAAGTATTTTTTTTTTCTTTGAATGGTTTGTTTCATACTCTTAAATGACTTTTTATTATAAAAAACATAGCTTCTTATCGTCAAAATAAAGAACAGTTACAATCCCACAGATAAATCATTTAGCAGCTTGTCACCTCTTTTTCTAATCTTTTAATCTCTGTATAACTTTTCATCTAGCTGAGATCATGCTATACACACAATTTATATCTGGCTCATTGAGCTACGACACGAGCATGCTCCAAGTGTTATTAAACACTTTATAATTATAACGGTAAATGTTACCTAATAATTCACTTTAAGGACAGACCATAATTTAATACATCATTCTCCTTTGTTGGACATTAAGAACGTTTCTAGGTTTCCATTATTACAAATAATACTTTAATGCATACTATTTAGTCATTAAGCGACTCCTGAATTTCCAGATTATCTATGAAGGGGTAATGCTCAGAAGTGGAAATTCTAGGACAAAGGATATGACAATTTCTAATAATCTTCACACATACTGCTTTCATCGTTCCTAATTTATAATATTATTAGCAGTGTATAAAAGTGTCTCCCTCATGACACCTTTATAATTAAATGTTTATTTTCTAATCTTAACTATATTGATAAAAGAAAATGGTATCTCAAGAATTTAATCTACTTTTTTATTACTTCTGAAGTTGAAAAGGTTTTATATAGTGTTTACTGTTGCTTTTCCTTTTATTGTGAAATCTCCACTTTCCTTTGCCCATTTATCTGTTGGGTTTTACTATTTTTTCATGGATTATACACACTTTATATATTAAGGATATTAACCCTTTGTCATTTGTGGCAAATATTTTTTTTAAGATATTTACTGTTAACTTTGAAGTCATTAAAACTATAGTTCTTTGTTCTTTTATGCTTCATTATTGCTTTTAAATTTAGAAAGGTCTTTCTCCTCAAGACATTTGATACATACATACTTAAATTCTAAATTTTTTGATGATTTAATTTAAAAAATAGTAATGCTTTAATTCTCTAGCAAATAATTAATTTCCCCAGCACTGAATGTGGTATAGTTCTTTCTTTCCCCACTCACAGTTGATAATAACTATTTAGTTATTCTTCTAGCAGTACCTGGTTGCCCTCCCTGTGTAATCCTGCAGTTACTTCTGCAACAGATGGAGTGTATTCCCCACCCCTAACTGAGGGCTGGACTGTGAGACTTGCTTTGATTTATGCCACTGGAGGAGAAGTGATTCTATGCCTGCCTGATCTAAGCCTCATGAGATATTGTGGGTTCCCACTGTGATCACCAGATAGCTGCTTTCTCCTTCAACCTGGGCTCCAGAAGAAGTAAAAAGAAAAAACCCCACACATTTAAAAAAACAAACAAACAAACAACCTACCCACCCCCCCACCAAATCTTCACTGGAAAATCTATACTAAGTTTGAGTTTTTCTGAATACATCTTTTAAAGACTTTCTTCTTTTGTTTACCTACATACACACACAGAGAAGACTTGAACTGCAAGATTTTGCACAAAACAGAAAACCCAAGTATTCATTCTAATCTCTCACCTTCTGTTGAAATCCACCTGGATGGAATGATCAATTACAAGATCGGCAGGACAGATGGGGTTTATTTTCTCTGGATCTCCTCCTAACTTCTTCACGGCATCGCGCATGGCCGCAAAATCAACCACGGCTGGCACCCCCCTAAGAAAAGAAAGCATTAAGCAGAAGACAAAATCGTTGAACAAGCATCCTTGGATTTGTCAGCTTTGGCCTCCACTAACAACACTGGCCATGAGACAGTTTCATCAGTGGGGCGAACAATGGATGACTCAGAATAGTGGAAGCTTCTAAACACCTTTCCTTGAGCAGACTTTGGTTTTAAATGCCAAGACTGAGTGGTACCTCTACATGCAGTTTTGTCATTGCATTAAAGTTAACAACAAAGAGGGTCTAAATAGGGACCATGGCAAAGCAGGCACTTAAAAACTCGGGACTGTTATTGCCATGGCTGATTCCCGTTCATGTGGTGGGGTGACAAAGGCCTAGAGAAGATGCATGGATCAGACCTCCACCTTCAGACCAAATTTAAAGAAATGGATGTAATTCAGAGAATATGCTATGAATCAAATTTAGACTAGGTGAATCTTTCCTTTTTATTATTTTCGAGGATAAAATTTGCCCTCTAGACTGGTCTTCTAGAAAAATGAAATTTGGTCTCTAGAAGGAATAAAATAACATCATTTAAAAATGGAAAGGTATAGTGTCTAAAAAAACCAGACCTTGATGGGGATTAAAGACTCCTGGGAATAGCAGCATGTGAACTGGGGCTTGTGACCTACAAGTCTCCCCTAAGGGGACAGCACATCACTGTTCTAAGGGCAGCTGTTTTGAAACTGGCTGTGTGGGTGATGGGGTGGGAGGGACAGAAGGTTCCAAGATCGCTCTACTCCATGCTACTTCTTCCGCCTTCTGCTAGTATACTCAACACCGGGATCTCCAAGACCAAACATGATGACCTTTGCCATTGGAAAAGGTGGAGTGACTACACATCCCAATGTGTCCAAGACAATGTCTTGCTGTCCAGGATAACAGACCCCTTATGTTTTCAAAAGTGTCTGGATATTGGGTGATAAATTATACAGGCACTGTGTGTGTGTGCACGTGTGTGCGCACGTGTGTGTGTGTGCACGTGTGTGTGTGTGTGTGTGTAAAGCTTTCTCTAAAGGCTGACAAAGGAGGCAGTGAAGAGCAGAGTGAAGTGACATCAGGCTCACGTGAAGTCCTGCAGTATGACGCGGGCAGGCTTAAAGGGCACTTCTATGTTCTTATGCTGCATGACATTCCAATTTAGGATATTTTCAATGTCATTTTTCTTCACCAAAAATTGATCACAGTTCCGAATGGCTGCCTCCAGGAGAACTCTGATAGAAAATGGTAAGCGTTCTAGGGAAAAAAGGAGAAAGCATAACAAAACCAACAAAAGCCATGAGACACCTTCTCATAAGAGCGATTTAAAGCCAATCTCTATATAAACTTGATACAAGGCCTCAGACTACTCTTCCAATAGGGAAAGAGGGGACGTTTAAACTGATTTCCACAGCTTAAAATGTAAGCAGATCGAATGGGTTTAAGAGACATTTGGTACTAGAAAATATCCACAGACTAGGTAAAAATAAATATTACAGTTAATTCTTTCATAATAAATTGTTGCCTTACCTTGGATTCCAAAAACGGTTTCCCTTAAGTTATCATCAAAGAAGTCAATCTAGATATTTACTGTATTATGTGTTGGCAAGTAACACACACAAAGTAATATTTCTTACGAAAACTAGTGTTTAAGAAATGAGAAAGTAACTCCTTTACAACTATTGTAATTAAGACCAAAGACAGCCCCATGCACCTTTCAAAGGAAACACAAGCCTAAACACCATGTAGGATGGCCCCTGGTGATGGGTCTGAGGATAAGACAATGATAATTCATAAGAAAAACTATTTTGTTTATTTATAAAAGAAATGTTCTACCCTGATCTACGAAAATTATTCACGAATATTATTTGGAAAAGATCAGAGTGCCAAGGTAGAAAAGCAGAGGGTTTGGAATAAAAAAGACCTGTTTTCGTCCAATTCTACTACTCACATAGTTGTTTTTTGATCATGTCACTGACCGTCTGGGCCTTAGCTTCCTCAGGACTTCTTACATTTTATAAACATGGCCTTATAGGTCATGTTATACAGATTAAATAATATATATGTACAAACACTCTATATACTATAAATGTTACATAAGTGTCACATGTATATAATCATTATTACTTAAAAATGGGCAATGTAAGAAAGATGTGTGTGTGTGATTTTGTGTGCTTAACTCAAGACCATTCGGCCATTTCTGCTACTCCCTCTCTCAACTCTCCTAAAGGCTAATTAATTACATAGCAAAGAAGATTCTTAACTGCTGTGAGAACAGTTACATCAGAGAGCCATGTACCTACCATATCTTGAATCCTTCAATTTATTCAAATTGAAGAATTTCTTTCCTGGTTGTGCAGGATCCAAAGGCTCAACAAGGTGTGCAAAGGGGTTGCTCATGATTCTTGATGGCCACGTGTCCCTGGAAAAATAAAAAAGAGAGAACATTTAATGTCTACTCTCAAAGCTGGATTTCACTTATTCTGAGGCGTGTTTGCCTTCTTTAACAATTATGGTACATGTTCACTTTAAGACATCACTTATCTTTTCAAAGTAGAAGGGCGTGGCATACATGACTACAAGAACGATATCTCAGCAAATAAAATGGGCTTCTGTGAAGCTATTGTGAAAGCTAGCATTTGCCTCTCAAGAGAGTATAAAATCCCGAACGTCTTTTGTCTTATGCCTACAACTGTCCAACTTTCTTCCACTGATAAGATATGCTCTGTCTCACGATAAATCCTGATACATGAGCAGACTTCTGAGCTGGACTCCTGTCTTTCTTAACAGGAGGTAAAAGGTCCATAGCAGACGACATGCAATTGTCCAAAACTTGAACTTTGGAAGTGGGGGCTCGGAAGCAGCTATCTTCTGTTATAACAGTCTCTGCAGCATTTGGAAATAAATGTGTTAATACAAAGTCTTCCTGGTTCACTTTTGCACATGGTGGCAACAGAGTGTTGACATCAGGGAATCTGTTACCACAGTGGGCATAAAGGCCCAAACTTCACAGATATGTTTGGAGGAGACCCTCTACCCCAGCTTCAGGCAGGACTTAAGTTTATCTTTGTATAAATTATAAGCAGCAAACAAGGGAGGACACTGTTCCTAGCCTCTACCACACAGATAAACAGCAATTTCAAATAACTGTACAACTCAGAGCAAAACACACTGGAGTAGGAGTTGGAAGACTTGCTTTCCAGTCCTACCTGTTGGGCAAAAATCCTCCAACCGATCCATTCCCCAACAGTCTTAATTTTGAGTTAAGAATAGTAATGTTTCTGGGGTGCCTGGCTGGCTCGGTCGGTGGAGTGTGTGGCTCTTGATCTCGGAGTTGTGGGTTCAAGCCCCGCACTGGATGTAGAGATTACTTAAAAAGAAAATCTTAAAAAAAAAAAAAAGTAACATTTCCCCAATTAACCCAGGAGTTTTATGAATACTTAAATATTCAACATATTTTGGGGATGACTGATATGGAATGATCAATATATTACCATAAAATGAAAAAACACATGCGGGCATAAGTTGAGTGATATCGCGGGTTCCGTTCTGGACCACCACAATACAGCAAATACTGCAATAAAGTGAGTCCACTGAAATTTTTGGCTTCCCAGTGCATATAAAAGTTTATACTGTATTCTATCAAGTGTTCAACAGTATTATATCTAAAAAATAATGTATGGACTTTAATTACAAAAAAACCTTTATTGCTAAAAAACGCTAACCATCATCTGAGGTTTCAGCGAGTCATCACCTCTGACCATAGATCAGCATACCAAATGCAATAATGAATAAGTTGGACATATTATGAACATTATCACAATGTGACACAAAGACACGACGTGAACAAATGCTGTTGGGAAAATGGTGCCAAGAGACTTGCTCTTTGCAGGGTTGCTGCAAACTCTCAATCTGTCAAAACCGCAGTGTTTGCAAAGCACAATAAGATGAGGTCGGCCTGTACAGGAAAGACTGTCTGTGGGGGGATGGAAAGGGACAAGTGGTTCTTGTCTCCACAGACAGGCCCCTTTCTTCATTAAAACACAGAAGGGACTGGCTGTTGGGACAGGGGCCGGGAAGTCAAGACTGGGAATAAGACTCAGTTTCCACTGTACATCCTTTGATATTGTGTGCCTTTTTACCCATGTGCACATATCACTTTTTGAAAACTAGTTCCAAGTTTTAGAGAAATAGCTATTTGTGCATGTACTAAGTCCAGTGCTAGGTGATTCTGGGGAGAGGCGCTGATCGAGAAGCAGTCCCTGCCTGCCTGGAGCCCGCCGTGCTGGAGGCGAGGACAAGCCAGACGTCTGTCATGGGCACCAGAGAACGCAGGGGAGAGTGTCTTCCTGCAAGTGTCTGTGCTAGGAATTACTTCTTGCTCCTAGTAGTTCCTCCAGAATCATCCCTCTCTCTGTGTCAAACCCTAGAGGGGGCCAGGCGCCTGAAATCTGCCAAAATTCTATGGTGAAACCAGTTGCTAAGTTGTACCCATATTGGCCTGGAAGCAGTGAGGCTGAAATGTGTCCATTTACTTCCCCGGAGCTTACAAATGCCCTGGGCAGAACTTCAGAAGCCTCACTCCATTCCCGCTCCTCCCACCACCCTGCGGAGCCTGCCAGTATTTCAGGACACAGCGACCGATGCGGCTTCCATGGAAAATGGCTTGTGTAAAGTGCTCTGCCGTCTGCTTCCCTTTTTCCTTAGAAACTAGATAACTGTCTAATTTCACTATGTTAATGAACCAAATTCTCCTTGCAGGAGCTAAAAGAGAAAGGACCCAGTCCCTGGTTACTCAGTAGCAGCACATTAAGTACCTGGGTACCGGTGCATAAATACCCAGGGCGTTACACCATCTTCTTTAATTTTGGTGACATCTCTGTAAGTGAAAGCATATCATTATTTCCATTTTACAGCTGAGGAAACTGCAGCTCAGAGAGATGGAAGAACTTGCCTAAGGACATACATCTAGGAAGAGGCAGAGCTAGGTTTTAAATCCGGGCTCCTCCCCCCCGGGCAACAACAACTATTCTAAAGGTGGTGCTGGATAGAGCTCACCAACCAGCCCCACAGCTAGGAAAAAAAAAAAAAAAGCCAGAAGAGGCTCATGGGCCTGGGAAATCCTCCTCCTGGAACTCAGAACTCAGTCTGGAATCCTGGAGTTGCCTTTCCTCCTTCCCAGGGTCACCCAGCACGTCGGTCTGAGCTCGGCATCATCACATGTCCCTTGCACGTTTTACTGAGCCACAGGTCAGTGGAAAGCAATAGCAGCTGTGTTGTGGCAACCAAAAACTGGTTTTGCTTCCAAGTTGGGAAACAGTCCTTTCACACCACCTGGAGGGCTCTGGAAATCCCTCCCCGTTTCACTCACGCTATCACTCCTGTCTTAAATTGCTTTATAGGAGCTCCCCATGTTTCAGCAATCCCAAGAGAAAGCCAAAAACAACCATGTTCCAAGGAGGGTGGGAGGGAGAGATCTTTGGCTTGGGAACAGTCCAGACCCAAAGTAGAATCTAGGCATCATAAACGCTTCCCAGGTCTGCCTTCCCCTGGCCATCCTCCAGCCTCAAGTAGTACTGCAAAGCCTGCAGACTCCAAAACCACCCTTGGTCTGGGTTTCATCTGGAGACCCCGCCAAGTGGCCAAGGAGTCCTTCCTACTTCCCACATCCACATAAAGGGCACACACCATTGTTTCAACTCCTTTCTTTTCTTATCCTCCATCCTGCCTTCCCTCTGCTTTGTTCCTGTCCTTTTTCTGTTTTACCTAATCCCCATTCTATACTCCTAAAAGGGAGGCCTGAACAAACAGAGACAGTTCATTGTGGATTTTTTTGGGAGAGGGTGGAGTGTTAGCCTATTTTTTTTTTTTCTTTTTTTGGGGGAAGGGTTAGTGTGCATGGAAATCTGCTTGGGTGCTACCTTTTCTGTTCCACAGAAAAAGACAGGATTGCATGGAGGCAAAGGAAAAAAAAAAGAGGAAAAGACAAAAGAAATTAAAAAAAAAAAAGAAAGTTAAGAAGGGAAATGTTATCTTTTAAGCAGTGATGTTGGAGAACATTTGGAGCTTGTGCCTCACGAACACTTGTGTTCAGAACCGTCAGACGGCTGAGCATTATTCGCCCCGGCCTGTGAATCAAGTAGGACACACGATCGGTGCTTATATAAAAGGAATTTAAAAAGAGACACTGCACTGTATTTGAAACCCTTCACTACACCTAGCTCACACTCTAAAATCAGGAAAATTATTTGGTTAAGAAACAGTGTCTTTTGAAGCTAACCCACCCTGAAATACCAGCTGGGTGACTTGTCCAGTGTCATGATGCCCTCAGGTACATCTTGTGCACGGATGCAAGGAAGAGTGGGCGTGGGAAGAGAGTATTGAACACCAGAGTTTTAAAGTAAATTACTAAAAATACTAAACATTAGGCACAGGCGGACAGATCTGAGACATTTAACAAATGAACCATGCTGCTGGTAAAAAAGGTACAGGGAGTGCAGAGCCATCGTTCCTCCCTGATCACAGTCTTGCTGCCAACCAGCCCTTGGTCTCAATCCTGGACACGTGCAAGTGACTCGGAGAGGCACCATCATTTGTGCTTATGTCGCACGGCATTAACACCCCCCCCCAATGCCCTCGGGAGTCCTTGTCCTAGGTGCTATGGAGGTGATGGGACAGAATCAGAGAATGCTGAGCCTTCTGGAAAGAACCTTAGAGATGTCATAGCATTTTCCTGACCAGGAAACAGAGGCCCCCAGAAAGAAAGTGGGGTCACTGGATTTATGAGTGGTAGACCTAGAAGAAAATACAGCTGATTTTTCTCTCCAGTGAAATGCAAATTTCTGGCAGGGGGAAAAAAGAATGCTTAAAATCCTTCAAAAGTAAAGTTGAAAAAAGTACCACTTAGGCACTTTCACATATCACAATCTTCTGGCGCTTCTGTGAGCTAGTTCTCTAAGCATTGACTGAGCCTTCCATGTGGTTCAAAATTCCAGAGAACTGACTGACAGCTACACTTTGGGAAAGCAACTTAGGGCTAGGTTTTTAACAACCTGCCCTGGGTGACTGAGTTTATTCTGAGAGGCAGAAGAGTAAGGGCAGATAAATTTTACTGATATAAATATCAAACATACAATTCCTTACTAAGATTCAACATAAGAAATGTGAGCAAAGACTCACATTAATATAAGTGGAATAGAAAAGTTGCAGAATAACATATATACTAGAATCTAATTTAAGTTAAAAACTTCAAGACTATTAGTATATATTCATTCATGTACACACATACCATCATATATGTAAATGATACAGAAAGATCTAGAATAAAGTTAACATTGATTATCCCTAAAGAGAAGAAAGAATACATTGTGTAAAGGGCGGAGTGGGGTGGGGTGGGGAGGACTTTTAACCTCTGAATAGAATCCAAGTTTTGTTTTCCATAAGTATGCTTTCATTTGTCACTTACTTTAAAAAAGCTGGAGCAGTCATTTTCAATTTTTGGATAAATACCTATAGAGGATATTTCATACAGGAAGAAACGGTGTCTCTATAAAACGAAAACTTGACCTCCTGGGCAGTATCTTTCCGAAAGGAAGATAGAACAGTTCCTCAAGTTCCTGGAACCACAGTACACAGTTCTTTCTTTAATAATGTCTGATGAGGATTTATGTAAAAGTAGATATGTGACTACTACTCTTTAGAGAAACCTGTTCTGTTCCCCAAACTATGTCCTTCATCACCACTGACGCGGTGCAATGGTTCCGAGAGAATCCAGGAATGGTTCATATTTAACTTTAGATGGACCAGGTGCATACTGCATACAGGTCAGCCATGATCAATGCAAGCGGGACCCCTTCCTATTCACCACCGTCTCCAGCCCTCTCTCCTCTCCCCCCTCCCCCAACAATCCCAGTAGGAGAC